ACTTCGCTCTCACTGCTGATAGGATCATTCCTTCTCTTGGTTCTCCTCTCTTCCCTAAATTTCTCGCTTTCAGAACGCTCCTCAGAGGAGGCATGCCTTTCTTTCATCTGCTGGTTTCTCTCTTCCCTTGATCTCACATATTCCAATCCCTCATCTATGGACATCCTTTCTCTCATTCTTCTTGCCTTCTCTGCCCTTTGCTTTCTCCCCAATGCTGCTTGGCTTCCTTCACCTCTCAACATCTTCAACTTGTTGCCTCTTGGAGTTGGGTTCCTGAGATGGATCAAAAACTCAAAGAATTAGAGTTGTAATGTTGGTTTGGTCAACTCGACACTCACTCGATCGAGTCAAAAAACTCGAGTGACAAACTCGATCGAGTTGGGTGAAAACAGAGTATAACCGAACCTAATTCAACAGTAAAGAGCTGGAAAAGATGCTAATCAATCAAATTGAACCAAGTAACATCAAGTAAATGGAACAATGAGCAATTCTAGTGAACTAGCATTTAACCAATACCAAACTCAAATTCAATTTTCAAGCACATGCAACAAGTTAAATGATAAAACAGAGGTGAGGTGAAGCAAATTCACAAGATTATGCAAATATGAAGAAAAAGGGAAGCAATTACTCAAGCAAGTCCACAAGGGACACATGCAATCAAAAATCAAGAGAAACAAGCAATAGTTGAAATCGAGATGAAGATCAAGGGTTTAGGTTCATACCTTGCTTGAATGATGGAAGAATCACAGAAACAAGAACTAAAGCAAAGAGAAAAGCAAAGAGAAATCGCAAAAACTTAAGAGAAAAGGGGAGAAATCGATTTTTCTTGTGGTGATGAGAGAGAGAGATGATTTTCAGAAATTTTAAGATTGTGGGAGAGAGAGAGGGTGGATTCGATCGAGTTATGGGGAAGAGGAGTGTTTGAGATGTGTGGTTGAGATTAAAAGTGAAATAAAGGGGGACAAGAAGCTAGGGTTTCTCTGATCAAATTCAGGGTAGTGGGGGACCAAAATCACTAGTGGGACCCACTCCCTTGACCAAGAAAACGGTTATGAATTTGAAATTCAAAAACTTACCTCGGTCGAGTTGGAAGCTCGATCGAGTTGCCCTGGTTTCTAGCTCGATCGAGCTGTCGGTCGAGCTGGCTCCTTGACACCTAAACTTAACTTATTCAAAGGTTAAAACATAAAGATAGATAGAAATTGCATAAATAGAGTATGTACAAGGATAAACATGGGACTTCCTCCCAAGTGAGCTTGTTTAAGGTCCCATAGCTTGACCTTTACCTTCTTAGGCATTGGTTGAGCTAGTCCCACCATCAAGGGTGATAGTGAGGACTTGAGACAGAAGCTCCTTTAGCTTGGTTGGGTCCCTGGACTGTTCTGAAGTCACCAAGGCCTTGGCTCTAGAGAATGGCCTTGATCTCCCCTTGTACCTTATCTTGTACTCAATCTTCCCATTTTCAAACTTGGTGGGGAACAAAGTCATTGTGAGCTGAGATGGCTTGACTGAAGGGGCCTGAGCTGGTGGATCCTTTCTTTTATCTCCTGGTCTTGCCTTAGAGGCTGCATCCTCCCCTTCTTGTAGAGCCCTTCCTAGTGGCTCATCAAACAAAGCTTGAAGGCTCTCTTCATCAAGCACACAAGGGGCTTGAACAAGTCGCTCAGCTCTTGGCCTATCAGATCGTGGTTTCTCAACTCTAGCCCTCTCAAGACGTGGCTTCTCAATCCTTGGTCCTCTCTCATCCTTATCCTTCCCAACTCTTGGTTCCTTGTCAACCCTTTCCTTCACAACCTTTGTAGCTCCATGACTCTTAGAACTGAGATTGGTACTGTCAATTGTGGCACAAAAGTCTGAACCTCTAGGCTGCAAGCGATATGACACCAAACTATTCACCTTGTGAAGGATCACTTCTTGCTTGTGAAAGTCAATTGAAGCGCCAACTGTACTAAGGAAAGGGGTTCCCAATACAAAGGCAAATCCTTCTCTTCTTCCATTTCCATCACAGTGAGATCAGTTTGGATGATGCATTCTCCAATTTTCAAGTGATAGTTCTTGAACACTCCAAGAGGAGACTTAGTAGTTGCATCTCCAAACATGATTGAAGTAGTAGGGCGCTGCAAGGCTCCAGCTATGCCTAGCTTCTCTGCCATGGAGAGAGAGATCAGATTGATGCTTGCTCCAGAATCCACTAAGGCATTGTCAATCTCAAGATGCCCAAGTGTGCAAGGGAGAGTGAATTTCCCTTGATCCTTGACCTTTGGTAGGAAGGTGGGTGAAGTAAGCAGGTTGAACTGATGAGTAGACTCTTGTAGGACCTCTGAAACTTTATCACTGTTGGCTAGAACATCCTTGACCATTTGCATTTGATCAAATGCCTCACTCATGCTATCCATAGAGGCAACTCAATTCCAATCCCACTGAGATCTCTTCTGAACTTGTGAATCACTTCCTTGTGACCTTGACTAAGTAGGCGAGACGAGGAAGCGGCAACCGGTTGATAAGGATCAAGCAAAACAGGCTGTCGGACAGAAGAGGTCGGACTCGATCGAGCTAGAGTTGGACTCGATCGAGCTGCCGATCGAGCTTGTCGTGCGAGCTCAACTGGTGAAGTGTGAATGGCCACAGTAGGTGCATGCACTTCTGGTTGATCAATCTGGACTCCAGGAGCCTCAGCAGCAACAATCTCTTCATCATTCAGCAGTAAACAAAAATCTTCAATGACCCTTTCTTGATCCTCTTCTTCAACAAGTCCTTCTTGAGTGAAGATGACCTTGCACTGTTCCTTGGGGTTCTGAATAGCTTTACCAGGTAGTTGTCCTTGCTTTGTAGCAGCAGCAACAGAAGAAGCATGATTCTCCAGAGAGTAAACCCTTGTGTTGAGGTTCTCGATCTTAGAGTTTATTTCAGCTAGCTTCTTGCTTGTGTCCACTACCCCATCAGCTTGCCCTTGAAGTAGTTGCTTTAGCATTGCCTTGAGCTCATTCTCTTGTGAAGGTGCAGGCTGGGGCGGTTGGTGGGGGAAGCCTGGTGGGATATTCATTTGTTGTCCAGGGAAAGTGCCTTGTGGTCCTTGGTAATTGTTCTTTTGACCATACCCATGTTGTGGCACCTGACTCGATCGAGCTGCTTGTTGTTGAGGATATACTTGGTCCTGAGGGTTAGCAACATCAGTGTTGCGGTATGACATGGCAGGGTTGGACTTGTAGTTATAGTATCCTTTGTTGTAACCTCCTTGCCCATTGCTCATGTAGCACACCTCAGCAAATTGTGTATCCTCCCCTTCTTGGACTGGTTCCATCTCCTCAGCAGACACAAAGTTGACTTTCTTCATTGTGGACTGAGCTAGGATCAGCTTATCCAACTTCTCATTCAATGCCTTAACATCTTTTCTCAACTTTTCGTCTGACTCGATCGAGTGGTGGGTCGAGCTCCGGTTGGTGCGATCATACTCTTCTCCATAGCTTCCATTTGAGTTAGCTATGTTCTCCACAAGTTGCCAGCCATCATCTACATCCTGGTTGAGGAAGTTCCCATTGCTAGCTGTGTCTAGCATCTCCCTATACCTAGGCAAGCATCCTCTATAAAGAGTGGAGAGTAGGATTCATTGTTGAATCCATGGTGTGGGCACTGACTTGTGTAGCCTTTGAACCTCTCCCAAGCCTCTGCGAATGTCTCATTGTTTCGCTGGATGAAGCTGGATATCTCTCCTCTAAGCTTGGCTGTGCGACCGGTGGAGAAAAATTTAGCAAGAAAGGCCTTCTTGCATTCATCCCAAGTGGTGATTGTGCCATGGGGCAAGCTCTTCTCCCATTGGTGAGCTTTGTCAGCTAGAGACATAGGAAAGAGTCTCAGCTTGATGGCATCTTCAGAGACACCATTGATCTTTGTCAAATCACAAAGCCTATCAAACTCATCAAGGTGGTCAATGGGGTCTTCACTTGGCAATCCATGGAACATCTTGTTCTGGACAAGGTTGATCATTCCCAGCTTGATCTCAAAGTTGTGGTTCTGCACTGGTGGTGGAACAATCCCTTGTCTCTGTTGGTGGCGGTTTGGAGCATCTCCTTGACCAATCGGTCGAGTTTGCCTAGCTCGACCGAGTCCATTCCCAAAGGGTTTCCATTCCCCTCTGGTACATCCATTGTATCAGCAACAAGCACCTCAGGTTCCTCTTGTACCCTCTGTGACCTCTGAACCCTCTTTCTACCCGTTGTAATGTCTAGCTCGACCAAGTCTTCAGTTGACCGACTCGATCGAGTTCGCATACACCTGCAAAAAGAGACAAAAACCCAGCAGTACAATAGAACAGGGGTGGTATAGCTTGATCGTCCAAGTGTGTTTGAAACTCAAATGCAACAAAAATATTCCCAAATCGGCAACGGCGCCAAATTGATGATAGGATTTGTGTGTGGATGTGAAGATATGAATGAAATGATGGTGGAATGCAATCAGTGGTATATAAGATGAGGTGGTAAGATGCAAACACAAACACAGTCAACAATTCCCTTTAACCATCATAGTTGAAGTATAAGGGTTATCAATCCAAAATGGGAAACTTGTCACTCTATGAGAATATGAAACAACCAGAAAGTCAAGCAAGCAGTAATAAGATATGCAGTGAGTAACAGCTAAGCTAGAGCAAAGTACCAGCTCGATCGAGTTTAGGGACGAGTTGAGACAAACAAAGCTAAAGACTTTAACAAGATAAAGAGAGAATTAGGGTTCAAGACAGGGTTTTGCAATCAAAGGAATCTACACTTAATCAATCTAGCTCTTAAAACTCCTTGTATCAAGGCTTCTCTTGATATTGGGCTTCTCAATGCCTAGCCAACCCTTTCCCAAGGTGGAGGCTATCAACCAAGGAATGATCTCAGAAACAGGGGGTTAGCCAGTGAGAATCAAACCTTGGAGGCTATAGGATCATTGCCCAAACTAATCCATCCAACCCCTTAGACCTCTATTGTCTAGAGCAAGAGATATTGGAGCTCTTAGTGGATCTTTTCCAGCGAATGCCATCACTTTCGTGTGGGGAGTCGCCTAAGGACTTACAAGCCAGGGGTAGTGGTCATGTAGCCTTAAGATCTATCCAAAAGAGAGAGAATCTAGATTAAGACCATAAGCTAGAAGGATTAAGCATATGAAACCTCTAATCTATCCCATCTCAAACCCCAATGGGTAACTACTCACTACACATGAATGTAAACACAAGCAAATGCAATAAAAGAGACATCATAAGAAAGAGGAGATGAAATAAACAACTTTTATTGAAATAAGCAAGTGCAAATACAAAGAGAGATAATCCAGGATCTAAGATTCAAGAAGCAAGAGCTTCAAGAACACAAAGATGGATTAGATTCTAAAAAGTAAAGACAATAAAATTAAAAGAAACTAAAACAAAATAAATCTAAAGCTTGGTGGTTTTTTCGTGGCTTAGAGCCTTTAAATACAGGATTAGGTTTAGGGTCAAAGGAAAGTCAAGGGGGAAGCAACATTTTTCGGGTTTGACTTTGACTCCAGCTCGATCGAGTTGAAGCTTGGCCGGTCGAGTTGAGGAACTCGACCGGTTGGTCGAGTGGACGGTCGAGCTGGTCTTCAAGATGGCTTCTCCCTTCTTCCTTTGCGTGTCCAGTTGAGCTGCTTCCATGTGCCAAGTCCCTCCATGCTCCTTATGTCCCATATGCTCCAGAATGCTCCAAAAGACCTATTTCAAAGGACCAAACATGCATATGTATGCAAATGCAACCTAAAACTAACATGAATGCATAAGAAGAGAAAAGGAACAAGATATGCAAATGAAAGCTAAAACTATGCAAAAGATGCATAAAAGATGTGCTAAAACTATGTAAAATGCAAGTACATCAACTGCATAAAGTACCTGAAATGCATCAAAGATTACAAAGAATTAGAGTTGCAATGATCGGTTTGGTCAACTCGACACTCAGCTCGATCGAGTCAAAAAACTCGAGTGACAAACTCGATCGAGCTAGGTGAAAACAGAGTATAACCGAACCTAATTCAAGTATTAAGAGCTGGAAAGGATGCTAATCAATCAAATTGAACCAAGAACAACTAGTAAATGGAACAATGAGCAATTCTAGTGAAGCACTAAGCATCTTAACCAATACCAAACTCAAATTCAATGTTTTCAAGCACATGCAACAAGTTCTAATGGCAAAACAGAGGTGAGGTGAGGCAAATTCAAAAATATGAGCAGGAGAAAGATATGAAGCAATTACTCAAGAACAATCCCATAAGGGGCACATGCAATCAAAAATCAAAGAGAAACAAGCAATAATGGAAATCGAGATGGAGGAATCAAGGGTTTTAGGGTTCATACCTTGCTTGAATGATGAATTGAAGACAGTAAAGCTAAACCCAAAGCAAAACAATGAAGAACAAGAGGAAATCGCAAAAACTTAAGAGAGAGAGTTGAAATTTCGAAATTTTCTTGTGGTGAAGAGAGAGAGAGATGAGTTTCAGAAAATTTTAGTGTGGGAGAGTGGAGAAGTGGTTCGATCGAGTTATGGGGAAGAGGGAGTGTTTGAGATGTGTGGTTGAGATTAAAAGGTGAATAAAGGGGGAACAAAAGCTAGGGTTTTTCTGATCAATTCAGGGTGGGGGACCAAAATTAACTTGTGGGACCCACCCCTTTGACCAAGAAAACGGTTAAAATTTGAATTCAAAAACTTACCTTGGTCGAGTTGTGGAACTCGATCGAGTTGCCCTGTTTCTAGCTCGATCGAGCTGTCGGTCGAGCTGGCTCCTTTGTCACCTAAACTTAACTTATTGAAAGGTTAAAGACACGAAAATAGATAGAAATTGCATAAATAGAATATGTACAAGGATAAACATGGGACTTCCTCCCAAGTGAGCTTGTTTAAGGTCCCATAGCTTGACCTTTACCTTCTTAGGCATTGGTTGAGCTAGTCCCACCATCAAGGGTGATAGTGAGGACTTGAGACAGAAGCTCCTTTAGCTTGGATGGGTCCCTGGATTGTTCTGAAGTCACCAAGGCTTTGGCTCTAGAGAATGGCCTTGATCTCCCCTTGTACCTTATCTTGTACTCAATCTTCCCATTTTCAAACTTGGTGGGGAACAAAGTCATTGTGAGCTGAGATGGCTTGATGAAGGGGCCTGAGCTGGTGGATCCTTTCTTTTATCACCTGGTCTTGCCTTAGAGGCTACATCCTCCCCTTCTTTTAGAGCCCTTCCTAGTGGCTCATCAAACAAAGCTTGAAGGCTTTCTTCATCAAGCACACAAGGGGCTTGAACAAGTCTATCAGCTCGTGGTCTATCAGACGTGGTTTCTCAACTCTAGCCCTCTCAAGACGTGGCTTCTCAATCCTTGGTCCTCTCTCAACCTTATCCTTCCCAACTCTTGGTTCTTTGTCAACTCTTTCCTTCACAATCTTTGTAGCTTCATGAGTCTTAGAACTGAGAGTGGTACTGTCAATTGTGGCACAAAAGTCTGAACCTCTAGGCTGCAAGCGATATGACACCAAACTATTCACCTTGTGAAGGATCACTTCTTGCTTGTGAAAGTCTATTGAAGCGCCAACTGTACTAAGGAATGGGGTTCCCAATAACAGAGGTAGATCCTTCTCTTCTTCCATCTCCATCACAGTAAGATCAGTTTGGATGATGCATTCTCCAATTTTCAAGTGATAGTTCTTGAACACTCCAAGAGGAGACTTAGAAGTTGCATCTCCAAACATGATTGAAGTAGTAGGGCGCTGCAAGGCTCCAGCAATGCCTAGCTTCTCTGCCATGAGAGAGAGATCAGATTGATGCTTGCTCCAGAATCCACTAAGGCATTGTCAAGCTCAAGATGCCCAAGTGTGCAAGGGAGAGTGAATTTCCCTTGATCCTTGACCTTTGGTAGGAAAGTGGGTGAAGTAAGCAGGTTGAACTGATGAGTAGACTCCTTCAGGACCTCTGAAACTTTATCACTGTTGGCTAGAACATCCTTGACCATTTGCATTTGATCAAATGCCTCACTCATGCTATCCATAGGAGGCAACTCAATTCCAATCCCACTGAGATCTCTTCTGAACTTGTGAATCACTTCCTTGTGACCTTGACTAAGTAGGCGAGACGAGGAAGTGGCAACCGGTTGGTAAGGATCAAGCAAAATGGTTTGGGACAGAAGAGGTCGGACTCGATCGAGCTAGAGTTCGACTCGATCGAGCTGCCGATCGAGCTTGTTGTGCGAGCTCAACTGGTGAAGTGTGAATGGCCACAGTAGGTGCCTGCACTTCTGGTTGATCAATCTGGACTCCAGGAGCCTCAGCAGCAACAATCTCTTCATCATTCAGCAGTAAACAAAAATCTTCAATGACCCTTTCTTGATCCTCTTCTTCAACAAGTCCTTCTTGAGTGAAGATGACCTTGCACTGTTCCTTGGGGTTCTGAATAGCTTTACCAGGTAGTTGTCCTTGCTTTGTAGCAGCAGCAACAGAAGAAGCATGATTCTCCAGAGAGTAAACCCTTGTGTTGAGATTCTCGATCTTGGAGTTTATTTCAGCTAGCTTCTTGCTTGTGTCCACTACCCCATCAGCTTGCCCTTGAAGTAGTTGTTTAGCATTGCCTTGAGCTCATTCTCTTGTGAAGGTGCAGGCTGGGGTGGTTGGTGGGGAAAGCCTGGGGTATATTCATTTGTTGTCCAGGGAAAGTCCCTTGGGGTCCTTGGTAATTGTTCTTTTGACCATACCCATGTTGTGGCACCTTGACTCGATCGAGCTGCTTGTTGTTGAGGATAGACTTGGTCCTGAGGGTTAGCAACATCAGTGTTGCGGTATGACATGGCAGGGTTGGACTTGTAATTATAGTATCCTTTGTTGTAACCTCCTTGCCCATTGCTCATGTAGCACACCTCAGCAAATTGTGTATCCTCCCCTTCTTGGACTGGTTCCATCTCTTCAGCAGACACAAAGTTGACTTTCTTCATTGTGGACTGAGCTAAGATCAGCTTATCCAACTTCTCATTCAATGCCTTAACATCTTTTCTCAACTTTTCGTCTGACTCGATCGAGTGGTGGGTCGAGCTCCGATTGGTGCGATCATACTCTTCTCCATAGCTTCCATTTGAGTTAGCTATGTTCTCCACAAGTTGCCAGCCATCATCTACATCCTGGTTGAGGAAGTTCCCATTGCTAGCTGTGTCTAGCATCTCCCTATACCTAGGCAAGCATCCTCTATAAAGAGTGGAGAGTAGTGATTCATTGTTGAATCCATGGTGTGGGCACTGACTTGTGTAGCCTTTGAACCTCTCCCAAGCCTCTGCGAATGTCTCATTGTTTCGCTGGATGAAGCTGATATCTCCTCTAAGCTTGGCTGTGCGACCGGTGGAGAAAAACTTAGCAAGAAAGGCCTTCTTGCATTCATCCCAAGTGGTGATTGTGCCATGGGGCAAGCTCTTCTCCCATTGGTGAGCTTTGTCAGCTAGAGACATAGGAAAGAGTCTCAGCTTGATGGCATCTTCAGAGACACCATTGATCTTTGTCAAATCACAAGCCTATCAAACTCATCAAGGTGGTCAATGGGGTCTTCACTTGGCAATCCATGGAACATCTTGTTCTGAACAAGGTTGATCATTCCCAGCTTGATCTCAAAGTTGTGGTTCTGCACTGGTGGTGGAACAATCCCTTGTCTCTGTTGGTGGCGGTTTGGAGCATCTCCTAGACCAATCGGTCGAGTTTGCCTAGCTCGACCGAGTCCATTGCCCAAAGGGTTTCCATTCCCCTCTGGTACATCCATTGTATCAGCAACAAGCACCTCAGGTTCCTCTTGTACCCTCTGTGACCTCTGAACCCTCTTTCTACCCGTTGTAAAGTCTAGCTCGACCAAGTCCTCTGTAGACCGACTCGATCGAGTTCGCATACACCTGCAAAAAGAGACAAAAACCCAGCAGTACAATAGAACAGGGGTGGTATAGCTTGATCGTCCAAGTGTATTTGAAACTCAAATGCAACAAAATCAATCCCAAATCGGCAACGGCGCCAAATTGATGATAGGATTTTGTGTGGATGTGATAAGATATGAGGTGGAATGCAACAGGGTGAATAAAGATGATGGTATGGTGCAATCACAATCAATCAATTCCTCTTAACCATCATAGTCATGTAGTATAAGAGGTTATCAATCCAAAATGGGAGAACTTGTACTTTGAGAATATGAAACACAAGAAAGTCAAGCAAGCAGTAAAGATTTGGGGTAACACTAACAACCTAATGAAAGAAATGAAATGCAGAAAGTAAATAAAGCAGTAGAGCAACAGCTCGACCAAGGACTCGAGTCGAGTTGGAACAGAGTACCGAGCTCGATCGAGTTTAGGGTCGAGTTGAAGTAAAAAGCAATAAAGGCAGTGACTTTAATAAGCTAGAACGAACAATAGGGTCTAAGACAGGGTTTACAATCAGAGGAAGGCTATACTTAATCGATCTTGCTCTTAAACGACTTGTATCAAGGTATCTCTTGATATTGAGCTTCTCAATGCCTAGCTAACCCTTTCCCAAGGTGAAAGCTATCAACCAAGACTTGATCTCAGAAACAGGGGGTTAGCCAGTGAGAATCAAGCCTTGGAGGCCATAGGATCATTGCTCAAACTAATCCATCCAACCCCTAAGACCTCCATTTTCTAGATAGATTAAGCATAAAAATCCTCTAATCTATCCCATCTTTGACCCTAAGGGAAACTAAGGGGTTGACCCTAGGACCCTAGAACATAAGCAAGAAGGATTAAGCATAAAAATCCTCTAATCTATCCCATCTTTGACCCTAGGATTATTTTGTTGCATTTGAGTTTCAAATACACTTGGACGATCAAGCTATACCACCCCTGTTCTATTGTACTGCTGGGTTTTTGTCTCTTTTTGCAGGTGTATGCGAACTCGATCGAGTCGGTCTACTGAGGACTTGGTCGAGCTAGACTTACAACGGGTAGAAAGAGGGTTCAGAGGTCACAGAGGGTACAAGAGGAACCTGAGGTGCTTGTTGCTGATACAATGGATGTACCAGAGGGGAATGGAAACCCTTTGGGAATGGACTCGGTCGAGCTAGGCAAACTCGACCGATTGGTCTAGGAGATGCTCCAAACCGCCACCAACAGAGACAAGGGATTGTTCCACCACCAGTGCAGAACCACAACTTTGAGATCAAGCTGGGAATGATCAACCTTGTCAGAACAAGATGTTCCATGGATTGCCAAGTGAAGACCCCATTGACCACCTTGATGAGTTTGATAGGCTTTGTGATTTGACAAAGATCAATGGTGTCTCTGAAGATGCCATCAAGCTGAGACTCTTTCCTATGTCTCTAGCTGACAAAGCTCACCAATGGGAGAAGAGCTTGCCCCATGGCACAATCACCACTTGGGATGAATGCAAGAAGGCCTTTCTTGCTAAGTTTTTCTCCACCGGTCGCACAGCCAAGCTTAGAGGAGAGATATCCAGCTTCATCCAGCGAAACAATGAGACATTCGCAGAGGCTTGGGAGAGGTTCAAAGGCTACACAAGTCAGTGCCCACACCATGGATTCAACAATGAATCACTACTCTCCACTCTTTATAGAGGATGCTTGCCTAGGTATAGGGAGATGCTAGACACAGCTAGCAATGGGAACTTCCTCAACCAGGATGTAGATGATGGCTGGCAACTTGTGGAGAACATAGCAACTCAAATGGAAGCTATGGAGAAGAGTATGATCGCACCAATCGGAGCTCGACCCACCACTCGATCGAGTCAGACGAAAAGTTGAGAAAAGATGTTAAGGCATTGAATGAGAAGTTGGATAAGCTGATCTTAGCTCAGTCCACAATGAAGAAAGTCAACTTTGTGTCTGCTGAGGAGATGGAACCAGTCCAAGAAGGGGAGGATACACAATTTGCTGAGGTGTGCTACATGAGCAATGGGCAAGGAGGTTACAACAAAGGATACTATAACTACAAGTCCAACCCTGCCATGTCATACCGCAACACTGATGTTGCTAACCCTCAGGACCAAGTCTATCCTCAACAACAAGCAGCTCGATCGAGTCAAGGTGCCACAACATGGGTATGGTCAAAAGAACAATTACCAAGGACCACAAGGCACTTTCCCTGGACAACAAATGAATATCCCACCAGGCTTTGCACCTTCACAAGAGAATGAGCTCAAGCAATGCTAAAGCAACTACTTCAAGGGCAAGCTGATGGGGTAGTGGACACAAGCAAGAAGCTAGCTGAAATAAACTCTAAGATCGAGAACCTCAACACAAGGGTTTACTCTCTGGAGAATCATGCTTCTTCTGTTGCTGCTGCTACAAAGCAAGGACAACTACCTGGTAAAGCTATTCAGAACCCCAAGGAACAGTGCAAGGTCATCTTCACTCAAGAAGGACTTGTTGAAGAAGAGGATCAAGAAAGGGTCATTGAAGATTTTTGTTTACTGCTGAATGATGAAGAGATTGTTGCTGCTGAGGCTCCTGGAGTCCAGATTGATCAACCAGAAGTGCAGGCACCTACTGTGGCCATTCACACTTCACCAGTTGAGCTCGCACGACAAGCTCGATCGGCAGCTCGATCGAGTCAACTCTAGCTCGATCGAGTCCGACCTCTTCTGTCCGAAGCCTGTTTTGCTTGATCCTTACCAACCGGTTGCCACTTCCTCGTCTCGCCTACTTAGTCAAGGTCACAAGGAAGTGATTCACAAGTTCAGAAGAGATCTCAGTGGGATTGGAATTGAGTTGCCTCCTATGGATAGCATGAGTGAGGCATTTGATCAAATGCAAATGGTCAAGGATGTTCTAGCCAACAGTGATAAAGTTTCAGAGGTCCTACAAGAGTCTACTCATCAGTTCAACCTGCTTACTTCACCCACCTTCCTACCAAAGGTCAAGGATCAAGGGAAATTCACTCTCCCTTGCACACTTGGGCATCTTGAGATTGACAATGCCTTAGTGGATTCTGGAGCAAGCATCAATCTGATCTCTCTCTCCATGGCAGAGAAGCTAGGCATTGCTGGAGCCTTGCAGCGCCCTACTACTTCAATCATGTTTGGAGATGCAACTTCTAAGTCTCCTCTTGGAGTGTTCAAGAACTATCACTTGAAAATTGGAGAATGCATCATCCAAACTGATCTCACTGTGATGGAAATGGAAGAAGAGAAGGATTTACCTCTGTTATTGGGAACCCCTTTCCTTAGTACAGTTGGCGCTTCAATAGACTTTCACAAGCAAGAAGTGATCCTTCACAAGGTGAATAGTTTGGTGTCATATCGCTTGCAGCCTAGAGGTTCAGACTTTTGTGCCACAATTGACAGTACCAACTCTCAGTTCTAAGAGTCATGGAGCTACAAAGGTTGTGAAGGAAAGGGTTGACAAAGAACCAAGAGTTGGGAAGGATAAGGATGAGAGAGGACCAAGGATTGAGAAGCCACGTCTTGAGAGGGCTAGAGTTGAGAAACCACGATCTGATAGGCCACGAGCTGATGACTTGTTCAAGCCCCTTGTGTGCTTGATGAAGAGAGCCTTCAAGCTTTGTTTGATGAGCCACTAGGAAGGGCTCTAAAAGAAGGGGAGGATGTAGCCTCTAAGGCAAGACCAGGGATAAAAGAAAGGATCCACCAGCTCAGGCCCCTTCAGTCAAGCCATCTCAGCTCACAATGACTTTGTTCCCCACCAAGTTTGAAAATGGGAAGATTGAGTACAAGATAAGGTACAAGGGGAGATCAAGGCCATTCTCTAGAGCCAAGGCCTTGGTGACTTCAGAACAGTCCAGGGACCCAACCAAGCTAAAGGAGCTTCTGTCTCAAGTCCTCACTATCACCCTTGATGGTGGGACTAGCTCAACCAATGCCTAAGAAGGTAAAGGTCAAGCTATGGGACCTTAAACAAGCTCACTTGGGAGGAAGTCCCATGTTTATCCTTGTACATACTCTATTTATGCAATTTCTATCTATTTTGTGTTTTAACCTTTCAATAAGTTAAGTTTAGGTGTCAAAGGAGCCAGCTCGACCGACAGCTCGATCGAGCTAGAAACCAGGGCAACTCGATCGAGTTCCACAACTCGACCAAGGTAAGTTTTTGAATTTCAAATTCATAACCGTTTTCTTGGTCAAGGGAGTGGGTCCCACAAGCTGATTTTGGTCCCCCACTACCCTAATTGATCAGAAAATCCCTAGCTTCTTGTTCCCCTCTTTATTCATCTTTTAATCTCAACCACACATCTCAAACACTCCCTCTTCCCCATAACTCGATCGAATCCACCTTCTCCTCTCTCCCACCCTAAATTTCTGAAACCATCTCTCTCTCTTCACCACAAAAAAATCGATTTCCTCTTTCTCTTAAGTTTTTGCGATTTCTTGTTCATCATCTTGTTTTGCTTTAGTTCTAGTTTACTGTTTCTTCCATCATCCAAGCAAGGTATGAACCCTAAACCCTTGATTCCTTCATCTCGATTTCTCTATTGCTTGTTTTCTCTTTGATTTTGATTGCATGTGTCCCTTGTGGACTTTCTTGAGTAATTGCTTTCTTTTTGCCTCTATTTGTATAATCTTGTGAATTTGCCTCACCTCACCTCTGTTTTCACTTTAAACTTGTTGCATGTGCTTGTTATTGAATTTGAGTTTGGTAATGGTTAGGTTGCTTGTTTTTCACTAGAATTGCTTATTGTTCCATTTACTAGTTGTTCTTGGTTCAATTTGATTGATTAGCATCCTTTCCAGCTCTTAATACTTGAATTAGGTTCGGTTATACTCTGTTTTCACCCTAGCTCGATCGAGTTTGTCACTCGAGTTTTTTGACTCGATCGAGCTGAGTGTCGAGTTGACCAAACCGATCATTACAACTCTAATTCTTTGAGTTTTTGATGCATTTCAGGAACCCAACTTAGAAGCAACAAGTTAAGATGTTGAGAGGTGAAGGAAGCAAGCAGCTTCAAAGGCAGAGAAGCAAGAGATGAGAGAGGAGCAAGATGAGGATATGTGAGATCAAGAAGAGAAACCAGCAGATGGAAGAGTCTGAGCAAGAGGATGTCTCCTCTGAGGAGGTCTGAGCGAGAGTTGAGGGAGGAAAGGAGAACCAAGAAGAGGAATGACCCTTAGTAGTGAGAGTGAGCAAGGGAGTTTGAGATTGGAGTGAACCTTGTTCAAGAGGAGAATGGCTCTCCAAGTGAAGAAGGAAGTGATGAGACTGAGAGTGAAGAGGAAGGAGAAGAGGTCAATCAAGAGATTGAGGAGAGTGAGCATGAGAGCAATGAGAATGTGCCCATGGAGGAGGAGTCAGAGAAGAGGATGAGCTCCCCATGTACCAAGAGCACTAATGCTCTCTTCTCCATGGACTTTATGGAGACCAAGTACCCACATGTTGACACATGAAGGCCCTTGGAATCTTTGAAGATGTGGAGCTGGTCCTCAAGAACATGCACTTGGCCAAGTTCTCTTATCACATGGAATCCTACAAGGAGCTCACTTGCGAGTTCTTGGCTTCAATGAGGTACCACATGTATGAGGAGAAGATAGAGCTGATTTGGACCAAGGATTGGGATGGATCACGTTCTTGGCTAAGGGAGAGAAGAGAATGGTGACCTTTAGGCAGTTGGAGATCTTGTTTGGGTTCAACTATGGAGAAGGACCAAGTGGAACTTCAAGGAAAAGGAACTCCAAAGGGTTTGGGCTACAATCGCTGATGGAGTACTCTTCCTCAAGGTCAAGGCTGCTCAAATCAGGAGCCCAGTGTTGAGATATGTGCACAAGGCACTTGCCAACACCTTCTTTGCAAGGAAGGCACCGGGACAATCAACGAGGGGGAACTCAAGTTTCTTGACATGGGAATCAAGCCCATCTCTCACGCACAAGCGATGGCAAGAGGATCAGGGGAGATAGATCACACAGGGAACTGATGCCTTTCCTTGACCAGCTCCTCACCTACAAGACCACAGGCCTACAACACTAGACATCAACGAGGGAGGCGCCTAAGTATTGGAGGGCTCATCACTCCTATCTTGTGTGCTGCTGGAGTGAACCCAACTGATAGGAAAGCCACTGAACCAGGTTGGATGGACATCAAGTTTTGCAAGACCAACCTTCTCATTGAGCACAAGGAGTTGGATGGGAGGTTCCAATTCAAGTTCACCATCCATTGGCTGGACCCTCCAAGCTTCTCCTGCCCAACCCTGAGCTCACCACAGTCTAAGGTAAAATTGACTTCAGACCCCCTGTGTACACTTGGGCATGAAGAGCGAGAAGAGGAGCCTGAGCTCGATCGAGCTGAGGATCGAGCTGAGATCAAGCTGAAGGATCGCCAGGAAAGCTGATTTGGGTGAGCCTGAGTGCTACTACTTTGAGGAGTATGAGGCTCCAAGGATGAACCCCTCTGTTGTGGCTGCCACAAGAGGATTGGACTTCTCCAAAAGTTCAACAAGTGGCAAGGGAAAGCCATGGAAAGATGCAAAAGTCCATGGACAAGATGGTGAGCAAGATCAAGAGTTTGGAGAAGAAAGTTTCTGGTTCTTCAAGCAAGAAGAAGAAGGCCAAGGCCCCCTTTCCCTAGGAGTAGATCACTCCTCACCACTCCAAAGGAGGCTCCCTGCCCAAGAGCCTCACAGAGCCTCTTCTTTCGAGCCAAGGGAAGGAGAAGACAACTCAGAGAAGGAGGAAGACTTCCAAGGCCAGACGCTCCAACTCGACCACCGGACTCGATCGAGTCCAAACAGAGGAAACTCAACTCGATCGAGCTGAGGGTCGAGTTGACCTGGAGGAGCCCCTGTTTGAGAACCGGATTCGAGTACGATCCAACGCCTACCAGGACTTCTCTCAGACTGGACCCCTACAGTTCGAGCAAGCCAGCTCCACCAAGGCCAAGGAAGCCACACACACTTTCGATGAAGAAGAGAGGAAGAGGAGCCGCAAGCTCGATCGAGTGAGCCGAACCCAGTCGAGTGGAGTGCTCCTGATGGCCGTCTACCATCTCCAGACCACGACCTAGTGCCTCCCAGTTCTTTGGGGGGCACTGAGGTATCCAAACACCAACCCTTGTATATACCATTTCATATTTTTGCATTTGTTTTTTTTTTCTTGGTTTTGCCCTCTTGAATCTTTCACTAAATTTTTCTCACACAAGGGACTGTGTGATTTAAGTTTGGGGGAGGGTTCAAGAGATGATTTAACCTTGTTTTCTTTGTTCTTAGTTTTTCATTATCTTTTGCATAGAAAAACCAAAAAAATCATAAAATTTTCAAAAAATCCAAAAATATTTTCATCTTTTTGCATTCATATTTGTTAGACTTGTTTAGGATTGCATTTTTCACTTGCATTGTTGATTTGACTTTGAAAACTTGTCCATCTTTTGCGATTTCTTGAGTGCCCTGTTTTTAGATTCTTTTGTGCATTAGGGTGAGATTGATTGAGCAGCAAGAACCATGTTTATCTTGATCATATCACTGCATGCACATCTCATTCAACCATTGCTGTGATTTGATGCATTTCCCTATCTATTTGAACCATAACTTGATCTTTAATTACCAATGCTTGCATTTGATTTCAACTCATGGCTACCACATACATATCTGGACATTCTTTACCATTTTCATATCCCTTTTGCTTGTCCAGATAGCTGATCTCATCTTTGAGACAGTTACCACACCTTAAACCTAAGCCTTTTCATTTCAAACCCCATATTATCTCTTGTGCGAATGTGAGAACCTTTCTTGGCTTTGCTTAGCATAAGGTGTTGTGTTTAAACCGGCAGGGGCAGTAGTTCTAGTTGTCTAGTTCTCTTGGGATTGTTTTCAGGCTAAGTTTGGGGGTGCCAACTCGAGCTCGATCGAGTTGGGTGTAAAAACCAGAAAAGTGGTAAAAGTTGGGAAAAACCCAAAGGAAAAAGAGTTTAGTTAAGTCCAGGGAGTTGGCAGTGTTAAAAAGGGTCTAGTAAAGGTTTGGGAAGTTAAAAAAGGAAGTAAAAAGGGTTCTAAGTAGAATGAAAAGAAGGCAAAGCCTCAAGTGTCAAAAAGAAAGAAAAGTTCCCTAAGTGTTTAGAAAATCCCAAACCGCTAGATGTTACCTCAAGAAGCCTCTCCCTAGGAAGTTCTTAAAAGAAAAGTGAGCAAAGCTCCTCAGTTTCAAAGGCGAAATGCCAAAAAGGGTAGTTAGGATTTTGTTCTAAAAAGCTCTAAGTGTTGAACTCGATCGAGTTAGGATTAGACGGCTCGAGCTGCTGTTCTTGCATCATCTTTGGTTCTAACACTTAGCCTTCTGCCAAAGCAAAGCCACTTTCTTGAGAGATCCCTGTTACTAAACCACCATACAAAAGAGACCCTCTTTGTCTCTTAACCCATAAACCCTTGAAACCAAATGAGTTGATTGATCTTGCATGTTTTTGGTTCACTGTTTTTGCTTAATGAATGTTAAAGGGATTTGCTGATTTGAATGCATTGTTTGAGTGACTGTGAAGTGGGATTGATGTTGATAAGCATGGTTAAATCTTAATGAATATCTCTCACCTTGTTGCATTCTAGAATCTCTAAGTTGGACATTTAGCAAATCGCTTTTGAGGACATGTTTTTAAGTGTTGAATCAGCTGTTTTCAAACCTCATCTCTTTCTTGTTCTATTTGTTTGCTTGAGGGCAAGCAAAGTTCAAGTTTGGGGGTGTTGATGTACTTGCATTTTACATAGTTTTAGTACATCTTTTATGCATCTTTTGCATAGTTTTAGCATCCATTAGCATCATATCTTGTTCCTTTTCTCTTCTTATGCATTCATGTAGTTTTAGGTTGCATTTGCATACATATGCATGTTTGGTCCTTTGAAATAGGTCTTTTGGAGCATTCTGGAGCATATGGGACATGAGGAGCATGGAGGGACTTGGCACATGGACGCAGCTCAACTGGATACGCAAAGGAAGAAGGAGAAGCCATCTTGAAGACCAGCTCGACCATCTACTCGACCAACCGGTCGAGTTCCTCAACTCGACCGGCCAAGCTTCAACTCGATCGAGCTGAGAAGTCAAAGTCAAACCCGAAAAATGTTGCTTCCCCCTTGACTTTCCTTTGACCCTAAACCTAATCCTCTTTGTATTTAAAGGCTAAAAGCCACGAAAAAACCACCAAGCTTTAGATTATTTTGTTTTAGTTTCTTTTAATTTATTGTCTTTTACTTTTTAGAGCTCTAATCCCATCTTTGTGTTCTTGAAGCTCTTGCTTCTTGAATCCTAGATCCTGGATAATCTCTTTGTATTTGCACTTGCTTATTTCAATAAAAGTTGTTTAATTTCATCTCCTCTTTCTTATGATGTCTCTTTTATTGCATTTGCTTGTGTTTACATTCATGTGTAGTGAGTAGTTACCCATTAGGGTTTGAGATGGGATAGATTAGAGGTTTCATATGCTTAATCCTTCTTAGCTTATGGTCTTAATCTAGATTCTCTCTCTTTTGGATAGATCTTAAGGCTACATGACCACTGGAAGTGATGGAAATCGTTGGAAAGGTCCACTAAGAGCTCCAATAACTCTTGCTCTAGAAATGGAGGTCTAAGGGGTTGGATGGATTAGTTTGGGCAATGATCCTATGGCCTCCAAGGCTTGATTCTCACTGGCTAACCCCCTGTTTCTGAGATCAAGTCTTGGTTGATAGCTTTCACCTTGGGAAAGGGTTAGCTAGGCATTGAGAAGCTCAATATCAAGAGATACCTTGATACAAGTCGTTTGAGAGCAAGATCGATTAAGTATAGCCTTCCTCTGATTGTTAAACCCTGTCTTAGACCCTATTGTTCGTTCTAGCTTATTAAAGTCGCTGCCTTTATGCTTTTTCTTCAACTCGACCCTAAACTCGATCGAGCTCGGTACTCTGTTCCAACTCGACTCGAGTCCTTGGTCGAGCTGTTGCTCTACTGCTTTATTTACTTTTGCATTTGCATTTCATTTCTTTAGGTTGTTAGTGTTACCCCAAATCTTTACTGCTTGCTTGACTTTCTTGTGTTTCATATTCTCATAGAGTACAACTTCTCCCATTTTGGATTGATAACCTCTTATACTACATGACTATGATGGTTAAGAGGAATTGATTGATTGTGATTGCACCATTTCATCTTTATTCACCCTGTTTGCATTCCACCTCATATCTTATCACATCTTCCTATCATCATAACCACCCAGGGGCTGTCAGATATTTATTTAAGTACATCAACAAAGGAGACGGTCGTGTGTCTGTTGTCGTTGAGTCAGCTGAGGAAGTGATGTACTTGCATTTTACATAGTTTTAGTACATCTTTTATGCATCTTTTGCATAGTTTTAGTATCCATTAGCATCATATCTTGTTCCTTTTCCCTTCTTGTGCATTCATAGTAGTTTTAGGTTGCATTTGCATACATGTGCATGTTTGGTCCTTGAAATAGGTCTTTTGGAGCACTTTGGAGCATTTGGGACGTGAGGAGCAAGGAAGGACTTGGTGCATGGACGCAGCTCAACGGACACACAAAGGACGAAGGAGGAAGTCATCTTGAAGCCAGCTCGACCACCTACTCGACCATCCGGTCGAGTTCCTCAACTCGACCGGCCAAGCTTCAACTCGATCGAGCTGAGAAGTCAACAGTCAAACCCGAAAAATGTTGCTTCCCCCTTGACTTCCCTTTGACCCTAAACCTAATCTCCTTTGTATTTAAAGGCTCTAAGCCACGAAAAAGACAACAATCTTTAGCTTATTTTAGTTTTAGCTTTTCTTTAATTTTGTATTTTACTTTTTGCAACCCTAACCTCTCTTTGTGTTCTTGAGCTTCATGCTCTTGAACCTTAGATCTAGGTTTATTTGCTTTGTATTTGCACTTGCTTATTTCAATAAAAGTTCTTTAGTTTTTTATCTCCTCTTTCATTTAATGTCTATTTCATTGCATTTGATTGTGTTTTCATTCATGTGTAGTGAGTAGTTCCTTTAGGGTAAGATGGGCTAGATTAGAGGATCTTATGCTTAATCTCTTTTGCTTATGTTCTTAATCTAGAAATCTCTCTCTTTTGGACAAACCTTAAGGCTACATGACCACTATCCCTGGCTTGTATGTTCATAGGCGATTTTCCACATGGAAGTGTTGGGAAATCGCTTGAAAAGGTCCACTAAGAGCTCCAATAAACCTTGCTCTCGAAATGGAGTTCATAGGTGTTGGATGATTTGCCTCCAAGGCTTGACTCTCACTGGCTAACCCCCTGTTTCTGAGATCATGTCTTGGATGATAGCTTTCACCTTGGGAAAGGGCTAGCTAGGCATTGAGAAGCTCAATATCAAGAGATACCTTGATACAAGTTGTTTGAGAGCAAGATTGATTAAGTATAGTCTTCCCCTATTGTAAGACCCTGTCTTAGACCCTAATATTCGCATTAGCTTGTTAAAGTTCCTGCCTTTATCGCTTTTTACGCTAACTCGACCCTCAACTCGACCGAGCTTGGTTACTCTGTTCCCACTCGACTCGAGTCCTTGGTCGAGCTGCTTGCTTTACTGCTTTCTTATTTATTGCACTGCATTTCATTTCCTTAGGTTGTTAGTTGTTACATCCCTCTTTATCATTTGGCTTGACTTTCTTGTGTTTGCATAAGTTCATAGAGTAACAATTTCACCCTTATGGATTGATACCCCTTATACTTCAATGACTATGATGGTTAAGGGGAATTGATTGATTGTGATTGTGTTTGCACCATACCATCCCATCTTCATTTACCACTGTTGCATTCCACCTCATTATATTTCATATATTATCATCACATCACACACGCAAATCCTATCATCAATTTGGCGCCGTTGCCATTTGGGTTGAATATCGTTGCATTTGAGTTTCCAATACACTTGGACGATCAAGCTATCCCACCCCTGTTTTTTGTATTGCTGGGTTTTCGATTCATTTTGTAGGTGTATGGGAACTCGATCAAGTCGAACAACAGAAGACTTGGTCGAGCTAGATTTCACCACGGGTAGAAAGAGAAGTCAGAGAACTCATAGGGTACAAGTGGAACCTGAGGTGCTTGTAACTGAAACCATGGATGTACCAAAGGGTAATGGAAACCCTTTGGGCAATGGACTCGGTCGAGCTAGGCAACCTCGACCGATTGGTCTAGGAGATGCTCCAAACCGCCATCAACAAAGACAAGGGATTGTCCCACCACCTGTTGATGTACTTGCATTTTACATAGTTTTAGCACATCTTTTATGCATCTTTTGCATAGTTTTAGCATCCATTTGCATCATATCTTGTTCCTTTTCTCTTCTTATGCATTCATGTTAGTTTTAGGTTGCATTTGCATACATATGCATGTTTGGTCCTTTGAAATAGGTCTTTTGGAGCATTCTGGAGCATATGGGACATGAGGAGCATGGAGGGACTTGGCACATGGAAGCAGCTCAACTGGATACGCAAAGGAAGAAGGGAGAAGCCATCTTGAAGACCAGCTCGACCGTCTACTCGACCAACCGGTCGAGTTCCTCAACTCGACCGGCCAAGCTTCAACTCGATCGAGCTGAGAAGTCAACAGTCAAACCCGAAAAATGTTGCTTCCCCCTTGACTTTCCTTTGACCCTAAACCTAATCCTCTTTGTATTTAAAGGCTAAGCCACGAAAAAACCACCAAGCTTTAGATTATTTTGTTTTAGTTTCTTTTAATTTATTGTCTTTTACTTTTTAGAGCTCTAATCCCATCTTTGTGTTCTTGAAGCTCTTGCTTCTTGAATCCTAGATCCTGGATAATCTCTTTGTATTTGCACTTGCTTATTTCAATAAAAGTTGTTTATTTCATCTCCTCTTTCATGATGTCATTTGCATTTGCTTGTGTTTACATTCATGTGTAGTGAGTAGTTACCCATTAGGGTTTGAGATGGGATAGATTAGAGGTTTCATATGCTTAATCCTTCTAGCTTATGGTCTTAATCTAGATTCTCTCTCTTTTGGATAGATCTTAAGGCTACATGACCACTACCCCTGGCTTGTAAGTCCTTAGGCGATTCTCCACATGGAAGTGATGGCATTCGCTGGAAAAGATCCACTAAGAGCTCCAATATCTCTTGCTCTAGAAATAGAGGTCTAAGGGGTTGGATGGATTAGTTTGGGCAATGATCCTATGGCCTCCAAGGTTTGATTCTCACTGGCTAACCCCCTGTTTCTGAGATCATTCCTTGGTTGATAGCCTCCACCTTGGGAAAGGGTTGGCTAGGCATTGAGAAGCCCAATATCAAGAGAAGCCTTGATACAAGGAGTTTTAAGAGCTAGATTGATTAAGTGTAGATTCCTTTGATTGCAAAACCCTGTCTTGAACCCTAATTCTCTCTTAGCTTGTTAAAGTCGTCACCTTTAGCTTTTTTTTCAACTCGACCCTAAACTCGATCGAGCTGGTACTCTGTTCCACTCGACTCGAGTCCTTGGTCGAGCTGTTGCTTACTGCTTTTTTACTTTTATTGCATTGCATTTCATTTTTTAGGTTGTTAGTGTTACCAATCTTTACTGCTTGCTTGACTTCCTGGTTGTTTCATATTCTCATAGAGTGACAAGTTTCCCATTTTGGATTGATAACCCTTTATGCTATAACAACTATCATGGTTAAAGGGAATTGTTGACTGTGTTTGTGTTTGCATCTTACCACCTCATCATATACCACTGTTGCATTCCACCACATCTCATTTCATATCATTTCACATCCACACACAAATCCTATCATCAATTTGGCGCCGTTGCCGATTTGGGATATTTTTGTTGCATTTGAGTTTCAAACACACTTGGACGATCAAGCTATACCACCCCTGTTCTATTGTACTGCTGGGTTTTTGTCTCTTTTTGCAGGTGTATGCGAACTCGATCGAGTCGGTCTACAGAGGACTTGGTCGAGCTAGACTTACAACGGGTAGAAAGAGGGTTCAGAGGTCACAGAGGGTACAAGAGGAACCTGAGGTGCTTGTTGCTGATACAATGGACGTACCAGAGGGGAATGGAAACCCTTTGGGCAATGGACTCGGTCGAGCTAGGCAAACTCGACCGATTGGTCAAGGAGATGCTCCAAACCGCCACCAACAGAGACAAGGGATTGTTCCACCACCAGTGCAGAACCACAACTTTGAGATCAAGCTGGGAATGATCAACCTTGTCAGAACAAGATGTTCCATGGATTGCCAAGTGAAGACCCCATTGACCACCTTGATGAGTTTGATAGGCTTTGTGATTTGACAAAGATCAATGGTGTCTCTGAAGATGCCATCAAGCTGAGACTCTTTCCTATGTCTCTAGCTGACAAAGCTCACCAATGGGAGAAGAGCTTGCCCCATGGCACAATCACCACTTGGGATGAATGCAAGAAGGCCTTTCTTGCTAAGTTTTTCTCCACCGGTCGCACAGCCAAGCTTAGAGGAGAGATATCCAGCTTCATCAGCGAAACAATGAGACATTCGCAGAGGCTTGGGAGAGGTTCAAAGGGCTACACAAGTCAGTGCCCACACCATGGATTCAACAATGAATCTACTCTCCACTCTTTATAGAGGATGCTTGCCTAGGTATAGGGAGATGCTAGACACAGCTAGCAATGGGAACTTCCTCAACCAGGATGTAGATGATGGCTGGCAACTTGTGGAGAACATAGCTAACTCAAATGGAAGCTATGGAGAAGAGTATGATCGCACCAACTGGAGCTCGACCACCACTCGATCGAGTCTGAGGCCCAGATGCGAAAAGACTTGCAGGCTCTCCATTCGAAGATTGACAAGCTGATTGTAGCTCAATTCCCTCCCAAACAAGTCAGCTCTATCTCTGATACAACACAGGCTATCAAACAGGAAGGGGAGGAGCAACAACATACAAGCACCCCTCCAACCACAAGGAAGACCATCTATGGTCACACATTTTACCAGGCACTTGTGGCTTACAGAATCACTCCACACAGATCCAACCCGCAAGGGCACCTTCCAAGTATCCCACCAATGCCATACCCAACTACACAGAGCCAAGATTGGGATATGAAGGATATGCTCCAACAACTCCTTCAGGGGCAAGCCAAAGGTTCACTAGACATGAACCACAAGTTGCTAGAAATAAACTCCAAACTGGAGTCATTGACTTCAAGAGTGAAAACCATTGAGTCTTCTAGTGTGTTATCCTCTTCATCTCAAGAGTATGCTCAAGCTGTTACACTGAGAAGTGGGCGACAGTGATATATCCATAATTTACATGATTTTACTTAGTATTTTCATGTGTTTTTAAGTATTTTCATAAAGGTTTTATGCCTTTGGAGGTAGTTTTCTTGTATTTGTTGGTTTTAGAGTCTTAACAGGGTAAACTATCAAAAAGGATTCAAAAAGGAGCAAAAGAGCCTCAAGCCATGATCCATGCAAGTTTCCAAGTCAAGAGCATCATTTTATCTCCAAGTGTTAGTTCTCGCTAGGCGAGCAGAACGAAGCTTCGGAAGTTTGGCCGCGCGAAGAGGATTTGCCGACGTCCAAAAGTCACGATCTTGATATGGAAAGATAGATACTTGAGTCATGCATCACGTCGAAGTGGAATGAAGCCATTTGGATCAACCATAAGGCCGGAACTTATTTTCTACCGAGACATGTCCGGTAAACGAGCAAACGAAGCCCATGGATGATTTGGAGTGTCTAATGGCCCAAGCAGCAGCGCCAAAGGCCTTGATTGAATAAAGAAGAGGCCTGGCTAATGTTTGGAGCTTTCCTTGGTACAATTTCGGCCCATACACGACGTGGAGAAGAAGGATTGGCTCATGGGAAACTTTCCTTTTTCGGCACTTCAATACCCTAACCGACCTACAACCTATATATGCAAGTTTTTAGCCTCTGGAAAAGAGGAGAAACGTGTTCGCCGTCAGAGAGGAGATAGAGCCGTCCTGGAGAGCAGAAGAAGCAGAGAGAAGAGGCGTTTCTCAAGATCTAAAGCACACACACACACAAACCTTCACACTTTGTTCTTCCTTTTTCTCTTGCACTTTTTTATTTCGGATTTGAGAGTTTCGAGGGAGATTTCGACTTGTTCTTCAATAGAGAAGATTTCTTCATCCCTTATCTCTTTTAATACTCACATAATGCTTTCATACATCTCTTGCTTGTTTGTTTGCATCATGGCTGAGTAGTCCTATTGTTGGGTTCAAGAGTTTTCAAGGGATTCATGGATTGATCACTAGGTTGTTAGATTCGGGATTATTGATTGAGTTCCTCATCTAGATTTTTTCTTAATGCTTATGGCTTTCACTGACCGTCTTGCTACTGCCTAGAGTTGATTTACTTTCCGAAAGCTTGATAAATCACTTGAAATAATCTTGATGAACAAATCACCATAACCTGCGGGAGTAGAATTATGATGCTTTGTGGAACATATTGAATTTGAATTATTTGTGCTTGTTTAACCACTTGATTGCCTATGGGAGTAGAGTGATCTTAGGTTGTTAGACATTTTAATTGACATTGCGGGAGTAAGTTGATTATCCATTCATAATTCAAGTTCTTGATCATATCTATTGATTCATTGTTTAACTATCAAAATAAACCAATCCTTGATGACCTATGAATTCTCTTGTGCCCAATGCTTTCCCTATTGATTTGATAACTTGTTTCACTTGATTTCAAGCTCACTCATTGTTATTTTCGTCATTGTTCACAACCCTAAAACAAAACCCCCATATTTTAGTTTTAGCTAAGTTTTAATCTCATAAATTCATAGTGCAACTTTTCTGGTCCTTGTGTTCGATAACCCATACTACCAACGATCCGTGCACTTGCGGTATCTACTAATAGTTGGGTAAAACTTATCCCACATCAGACAGTTTTCAAGCAGGGGTAGCCAACCCCAAATCGCTGTGGACATCGATGACGAGGAAGGGGAGGATTTGGTCGAGTATGCTGATATCCGCACCGAACTCGATCGAGCTGGAACAAAACCCTGAACCAGAACTCGATCGAGCTGAAGAAACCGAGACTCAAGACAAACCAGAGCTCGATCGAGCCGAGAAGAGAACAGACAAAGCAACTCCAGCCAACCAACTAAACCTGTTGCAAAGAAGAAAGACACTCCAGCAGGACCACCACCATACAAACCCCCTCTACCCTTTCCAGGAAGGTTCAAGAAACAACTGTTGGAAGCACACAAGGCCAAGTTTGATGAACTAATGAGACAACTTGAGCTGAAGTTGCCTTTCATCGACGCCTTGATGCTCATTCCACCTTATCAGAAATTCCTGAAGGATGCTGTTCAGCAAAGAACCAGGGAAGCACAAGGAATGGTAGTGTTGACTCGTGAGTGCAGTGCAATCATTCAGCGGAAGGTCATCTCCGACAAAAAGGAAGATCCGGGGAGTTTCACTTTGCCTGCATGTTGGGACCCCTATCTTTCAAAAACAGCCTCTGCGATCTAGGATCATCTGTCAGCCTCATGCCTTTGTCTGTAGCGAAGAGACTGGGATATCACAAGTATCAAGCCTGCGGAATCTCACTAGTCTTGGCAGATAGATCGATAAGGTTACCAACTGGAATGCTTGAAGACCTGCCTTTGAGAATAGGGAATGTAGAAATCCCCACCGACTTCATTGTGCTTGAGATGGATGAGGAACCAACAGATCCATTGATACTAGGAAGGCCATTCCTAGCTACAGCAAGAGCAATGATAGATGTCTGTGAAGGAACAATTGAGCTAAACTTGGGAAAGGACCTAAGATGAAGTTTGACATCAAGGATACAATGAGGAAACCAACAATAGAAGGTCAGCTCTTTTATGTTGAGGAGATGGATCAGTTGGCAGATGAGCTTTTAGAAGAGCTATCATTGGAGGATCCCTACAAGTTGCTTTGACCAAGGATTCTTCAGAAGGATATGTGAGCTCAGAAACCGAGGAGTACAAGAAGCTCCTTGACACCTTCAGACCAGTTCCAAACATTCTGAGCATTGAGGGGTTGGACAGGCCAGTTTGCGAAGTCATGGCAGTGAGCTCGATCAAGAGCTCGATCGAGTCGGTTTCGAACAAACGAACTCGATCGAGCTGGGACTGAATGCAAGGACAAGCTCAAGGAGATTGGTCTGAGCTCAAGGCGCCTAAAGTCGACCTCAAACCTTTGCCTGAGGGCCTCAGGTATGCATTTCTGGGTGAAAACTCAACTTACCCTGTCATTGTGAACTCTGATTTGGAACCTGAACAGTTGAGTGCTTTGCTTGTTGAATTGAGGAAGTACAGAAAAGCAATAGGTTACACTCTAGATGATATCAAGGGATCTCCCCTGACCTATGCATCCATAGGATTCATCTAGAGGATGAAAGTAAGTCAAGCATTGAACCTCAAAGGAGATTGAACCCCAATCTAAAGGAAGTAGTGAAGAAAGAGATACTCAAGTTGCTTGATGCTGGGATAATCTATCCCATCAGTGATAGCACTTGGATATCTCCAGTTCATTGCGTCCCAAAGAAAGGGGGGATCACTGTCATTAAAAATGACAAAGAGGAGCTGATTCCCACTAGAACAATAGTGGGGCATCGCATGTGTATTGACTATAGGAAGTTAAATTCAGCATCTAGAAAGGATCATTTCCCTCTCCCTTTCATTGATCAGATGTTAGAAAGATTAGCAAACCACCCTTTTTATTGTTTTCTTGATGGCTACAGTGGTTTCTTCCAAATCCCGATCCACCCTAATGATCAGGAGAAGACCACTTTCACATGCCCTTATGGTACCTTTGCTTATCGAAGGATGCCATTTGGGCTGTGCAATGCCCCAGCTACTTTCCAGAGATGCATGACCTCCATTTTTTCAGATCTGATAGAGGAGATGGTAGAAGTCTTCATGGACGATTTCTCAGTCTATGGAGCATCCTTCTCCTCATGTTTGTCTAACTTGTGCAGGGTGTTGCAGAGGTGTGAGGAGACAATCTAGTACTCAACTGGGAGAAGTGCCACTTCATGGTTCGAGAAGGGATTGTGCTTGGACACAAGATTTCCGAGAAAGGGATCGAGCTCGATCGAGCTAAGGTGGATGTCATGTTGCAGCTCCCTGTTCCCAAGACTGTGAAGGACATCAGGAGTTTTCTGGGTCATGCAGGGTTCTACAGAAGATTCATCAAGGATTTCTCAAAGATAGCAAGACCCTTGACAAGGCTTCTGTGCAAGGAGACAGATTTTGAGTTTGATGAAGAATGCCACAAGTCTTGGACCTTGCTGAAGGATGCTCTGGTATCTGCCCAATAGTTCAAGCTCCAAACTGGGATCACCCATTTGAGATTATGTGTGATGCATCTGACTATGCAGTAGGAGCAGTGCTTGGCCAAAAGATAGACAAGAAACTCAATGTCATCTACTATGCAAGCAAGACTATGGATGATGCTCAATGCAAGTATGCAACCACAGAGAAGGAGCTCCTTGCCATAGTCTTTGCCTTTGAGAAATTTCGAAGCTATATAGTTGGGTCCAAGGTGATTGTGCACACTGACCATGCTGCCCTTAGGCACATCTTTGCTAAGAAAGATACAAAGCCAAGACTTCTCAGATGGATCCTTTTGCTTCAAGAGTTTGACATAGAAGTTGTGGACAAAAAGGGAGTAAAGAATGGAGTTGCTGATCATCTCTCTAGGATGCGAGTTGAAGACATGATCCCCATCAATGATTCTATGCCTGAAGAACAGCTTATGGCAATCATGATCTTGAAGGAGAGTTTTGATGAGAAAGTCAGGCTGGAAGAAGTTAAGGCTCTGCGTGATGAGAATTTGCCATGGTATGCTGATATAGTGAACTTCATGGTGTCCTGGAGAAGTCCCTAGTAGTTTTGATGCTTACAAGAGGAAGAATTCTTCAAGGATGCTAGGCATTACTATTGGGATGAGCCTTACTTGTACAAGAGAGGACCAGACAGCATTTACAGAGATGCATAGCTGAAGAGGATGTACAAGGAGTTCTAGAGCATTGCCATGGGTCAGCTTATGGAGGTCACTTTGCTACATTCAAAACAGCAACTAAGGTTCTGCAATCTGGGTTTGTGGTGGCCTACCTTGTTTAAAGATGCAGCAAGCTTACATCGCCAAGTGTGATCCATGCCAAAGGAAAGGAGATCACCAAGAGAGATGAAATGCCACTAAACCCAATTCTGGAAGTTGAGATCTTTGATGTATGGGGAATAGACTTCATGGGACCTTTCAAGCCTTCCTCAAACGGGCACAACTACATTTTGGTTGCTGTGGACTATGTGTCCAAATGGATTGAAGCCATCCCCTGCCCAGCCTGTGATGCTAAGGTTGTTATCAAACTGTTCAGAACCATCATCTTTCCAAGATATGGCATCCCAAGGGTTGTTATTTCGGATGGAGGTTCCCATTTCATCAACAAGGTGTTTGAGAAGTTGATGAAGAGTTATGGAGTCAAGCACAAGGTCGCTACACCTTACCACCCTCAAACCAGTGGGCAAGTTGAGGTCTCCAATAGACAGATAAAGGCCATTATTGGAGAAGACTGTGAGCTTCACTAGGAAAGGATTGGTCAACAAGGCTTGATGAAGCACTTTGGGCTTATAGAACAGCTTACAAAACCCCCATTGGAAGGTCTCCTTTCAACTTGCTGTATGGAAAGGATTGCCACTTACCTGTGGAGGTAGATACAAGGCTTTATGGGCAGTAAAGATGCTGAACTTTGACATAAAGGCAGCACAAGAGAGAAGAGTAATGAACTTGTTTGAGTTGGAAGAAATCAGAATGAATGCCTATGAGAACTCCTGATCTATAAGATGAGAACAAGGCAGCCCATGACAAACTGATTCGCCTTAAAGACTTCAAGGTTGGGGACAGTGTGCTCTTGTATAACTCCAAGCTAAGGTTGTTTCCCGGGAAGCTAAGGTCAAAGTGGGCGGGACCATTCAAGATCCACGAAGTTTTGCCCTATGGATCCCTCACTCTACTCAATCAAGAGGGGAAGGATTCACAGTGAATGGGCATAGATGCAAGCCATATCTAGGAATGACCCCCACAGAGGAGATCATCACTCCTCTTCAAGATCCAACCCCGGCCTAAAAGGTAAGGTCAAGCTATGAGACCTAAAACAAGCTCACTTGGGAGGAATTCCCATGTCTATCTTATATATTTATGCTTTACTTTTATTTCTATGATTTTCTTGGCTAAGTCTTACAGGAGCAGGTTTTAGGAAGAAGGATAGCAACTCGAGGCACAACTCGATCGAGTCAAGAGCAAGCTCGATCGAGTGAGGTGAACCCAGTCGAGTGGAGTGCCCTGATGGCCGTCTGCCCTCTCCTGACCACGACCTTGCCTCCCAGTTCTTTGGGGGCACTGAGGTATCAAACACAACCCTTGTAAATACCATTTCATGTTTTCTTTGCTTTGTTTTTATTTTTCTTGGTTTTTCAAGAGATGATTTAATTCTCTTTTATGCATAGAAAAACCAAAAAAAAATCATAAAATTTTCAAAAAATCCAAAAATATTTTCATCTTTTTGCATTCATATTTGTAGTATTGTTTAGGATTGCATCTTTCACTTGCATTGTTGATTTGATTTTGAAAACTTGTTCATCATTTGCGATTTCTTGAGTGCCCTGTTTTTAGATTCTCTTGTGCATTAGGGTGAGATTGATTGAGCAGCAAGAACCATGTTTATCTTGATCATATCACTGCATGCACATCTCATTCAACCATTGCTGTGATTTGATGCATTTCCCTATCTATTTGAACCATAACTTGATCTTTAATTACCAATGCTTGCATTTGATTTCAACTCATGGCTACCACATACATATCTGGACATTCTTTACCATTTTCATATCCCTTTTGCTTGTCCAGATAGCTGATCTCTATCTTTGAGACAGTTACCACACCTTAAACCTAAGCCTTTTCATTTCAAACCCCATATTATCTCTTGTGCGATTGTGAGAACCTTTCTTGGCTTTGCTTAGCATAAGGTGTTGTGTTTAAACCGGCAGGGGCAGTAGTTCTAGTTGTCTAGTTCTCTTGGGATTGTTTTCAGGCTAAGTTTGGGGGTGCCAACTCGAGCTCGATCGAGTTGGGTGTCAAAAACCAGAAAAGTGGTAAAAGTTGGGAAAATCCAAAGGAAAAAGTGGTAAAAGTTGAGCATACTTTTGAGGACTGATAGCTACGACTCTATCAAGCAAGCGGAAGACCAAGGTGTTGTTGAAATGGAGGAACAAGGCAAAAAATTTCTACTACCTGCGAGTTTCACAGTTGGACCAAGATACATGAGGGAGTTGTATTTTGACGCCATGGCCATTTGTAGACATCATGGATTTCCAGATCTATTCATTACTTTTACATGCAATCCTAAATGGACCCGTCTAAGTCCTACTGATAGAGCTGAACTTATTACAAGCGAACTCGCAGGGACCTGTCTAAGTCCTACTGATAGAGCTGAACTTATTAGCAGAGTCTATCAGATGAAATTAAGATCTCTGATGGAAGATCTAACTCTCAAAAACCTGCTAGGAAAAACGGTGGCCTGTAAGTTTACGAAAGCCCTACTTTTATCGTTGATCTTTGAAATGCATATTCATATAGGTTTTTAACTATTTATCTAACGATGAGACATGATTGACAATCCAGATATGTACACCATATAATTTCAAAAACGAGGTTTGCCACATGCACACATTCTTTTATTCATGGATCAGAAGTCAAAGTTCCAAACAACAAACGCTATTGACAGTATCATATCCGCCGAAATACCAGATAAATCAGAAGATGCAAAGTTGTATGAGGTTGTGAAAGATATGATGATTCATGGACCATGTGGTCATGCCAACCCCAATTCACCATGTATGAGAAATGGAATATGTACTAAGAACTTCCCGAAGAGCCACGCAGAAAAGACTACAATCAATAGAGAAGGATTCCCATTATATAGGAGACGCGATCAGCCCAATGTTTTTGTGGAGAAGAACGGTTTTAAATGCGACAACAGATACGTAATTCCATACAACAAAACCCTATCCGTCCGTTATAGAGCACACATGAATGTTGAGTGGTGTAACCAGCCAGAGGCTGTCAGATATTTATTTAAGTACATCAACAAAGGAGCCGATCGTGTGTCTGTTGTTGTTGAGTCAGCTGAGGAAGTGAGGTACTTGCATTTTACATAGTTTTAGTACATCTTTTATGCATCTTTTGCATAGTTTTAGTATCCATTAGCATCATATCTTGTTCCTTTTCCCTTCTTGTGCATTCATAGTAGTTTTAGGTTGCATTTGCATACATGTGCATGTTTGGTCCTTGAAATAGGTCTTTTGGAGCACTTTGGAGCATTTGGGACGTGAGGAGCAAGGAAGGACTTGGTGCATGGACGCAGCTCAACTGGACACACCAAGGACGAAGGAGGAAGTCATCTTGAAGCCAGCTCGACCACCTACTCGACCATCCGGTCGAGTTCCTCAACTCGACCGGCCAAGCTTCAACTCGATCGAGCTGAGAAGTCAACAGTCAAACCCGAAAAATGTTGCTTCCCCCTTGACTTCCCTTTGACCCTAAACCTAATCTCCTTTGTATTTAAAGGCTCTAAGCCACGAAAAAGACAACAATCTTTAGCTTATTTTAGTTTTAGCTTTTCTTTAATTTTGTATCTTTACTTTTTGCAACCCTAAACCTCTCTTTGTGTTCTTGAGCTTCATGCTCTTGAACCTTAGATCTAGGTTTATTTGCTTTGTATTTGCACTTGCTTATTTCAATAAAAGTTCTTTAGTTTCTTTCCTCTTTCTTTAATGTCTATTTCATTGCATTTGATTGTGTTTTCATTCATGTGTAGTGAGTAGTTACCTTTAGGGTCAAGATGGGCTAGATTAGAGGATCTTATGCTTAATCTCTTTTGCTTATGTTCTTAATCTAGAAATCTCTCTCTTTTGGACAAACCTTAAGGCTACATGACCACTACCCCTGGCTTGTATGTTCATAGGCGATTTTCCACATGGAAGTGTTGGAAATCGCTTGAAAAGGTCCACTAAGAGCTCCAATAAACCTTGCTCTCGAAATGGAGTTCATAGGTGTTGGATGGATTAGTTTGAGCTCCTCACTGGCTAACCCCCTGTTTCTGAGATCATGTCTTGGATGATAGCTTTCACCTTGGGAAAGGGCTAGCTAGGCATTGAGAAGCTCAATATCAAGAGATACCTTGATACAAGTTGTTTGAGAGCAAGATTGATTAAGTATAGTCTTCCCCTATTGTAAGACCCTGTCTTAGACCCTAATATTCGCATTAGCTTGTTAAAGTTCCTGCCTTTATCGCTTTTTACGCTAACTCGACCCTCAACTCGACCGAGCTTGGTTACTCTGTTCCCACTCGACTCGAGTCCTTGGTCGAGCTGCTTGCTTTACTGCTTTCTTTCTTTATTGCACTGCATTTCATTTCCTTAGGTTGTTTAGTTGTTACATCCCTCTTTAATCATTTGGCTTGACTTTCTTGTGTTTGCATATTCATAGAGTAACAATTTCACCCTTATGGATTGATACCCCTTATACTTCAATGACTATGATGGTTAAGGGGAATTGATTGATTGTGATTGTGTTTTGCACCATACCATCCCATCTTCATTACCACTGTTGCATTCCACCTCATTTATATTTCATATCTCATATCATCACATCACACACGCAAAATCCTATCATCAATTTGGCGCCGTTGCCATTTGGGTTGAATATTGTTGCATTTGAGTTTCCAATACACTTGGACGATCAAGCTATCCCACCCCTGTTCTTTGTATTGCTGGGTTTTCGATTCATTTTGTATGTGTATGCGAACTCGATCAAGTCGAACAACAGAAGACTTGGTCGAGCTAGATTTCACCACGGGTAGAAAGAGAAGTCAGAGAACTCATAGGGTACAAGTGGAACCTGAGGTGCTTGATACTGAAACAATGGATGTACCAAAGGGTAATGGAAACCCTTTGGGCAATGGACTCGGTCGAGCTAGGCAACCTCGACCGATTGGTCTAGGAGATGCTCCAAACCGCCATCAACAAAGACAAGGGATTGTCCCACCACCTGTTGATCTACTTGCATTTTGCATAGTTTTAGTACATCTTTTATGCATCTTTTGCATAGTTTTAGCATCCATTAGCATCATATCTTGTTCCTTTTCTCTTCTTATGCATTCATGTAGTTTTAGGTTGCATTTGCATACATATGCATGTTTGGTCCTTTGAAATAGGTCTTTTGGAGCATTCTGGAGCATATGGGACATGAGGAGCATGGAGGGACTTGGCAATGGACGCAGCTCAACTGGATACGCAAAGGAAGAAGGAGGAAGCCATCTTGAAGACCAGCTCGACCACTACTCGACCAACCGGTCGAGTTCCTCAACTCGACCGGCCAAGCTTCAACTCGATCGAGCTGAGAAGTCAACAGTCAAACCCGAAAAATGTTGCTTCCCCCTTGACTTTCCTTTGACCCTAAACCTAATCCTCTTTGTATTTAAGGGCTAAAAGCCACGAAAAAACCACCAAGCTTTAGATTACTTTTGTTTTAGTTTCTTTTAATTTATTGTCTTTTACTTTTTAGAGCTCTAATCCCATCTTTGTGTTCTTGAAGCTCTTGCTTCTTGAATCCTAGATCCTGGATAATCTCTTTTGTATTTGCACTTGCTTATTTCAATAAAAGTTGTTTATTTCATCTCCTCTTTCTTATGATGTCTCTTTTATTGCATTTGCTTGTGTTTACATTCATGTGTAGTGAGTAGTTACCCATTAGGGTTTGAGATGGGATAGATTAGAGGTTTCATATGCTTAATCCTTCTTGCTTATGGTCTTAATCTAGATTCTCTCTCTTTTGGATAATCTTAAGGCTACATGACCACTACCCCTGGCTTGTATGTCCATTAGGCGATTCTCCACATGGAAGTGATGGAAATCGCTGGAAAAGATCCACTAAGAGCTCCAATATCTCTTGCTCTAGAAATGGAGGTCTAAGGGGTTGGATGGATTAGTTTGGGCAATGATCCTATGGCCTCCAAGGTTTGATTCTCACTGGCTAACCCCCTGTTTCTGAGATCATTCCTTGGTTGATAGCCTCCACCTTGGGAAAGGGTTGGCTAGGCATTGAGAAGCCCAATATCAAGAGAAGCCTTGATACAAGGAGTTTTAAGAGCAGATTGATTAAGTGTAGTTCCTCTGATTGCAAAACCCTGTCTTGAACCCTAATTCTCGCTTATTGTTAAAGTCGCTGCCTTTATTGCTTTTTTTTCAACTCGACCCTAAACTCGATCGAGCTCGGTACTCTGTTCCAACTCGACTCGAGTCCTTGGTCGAGCTGTTGCTTACTGCTTTCTTTACTTTTATTGCATTGCATTTCATTTTTTAGGTTGTTAGTGTTACCCCATATCTTTACTGCTTGCTTGACTTCCTTGTTTCATATTCTCATAGAGTAACAACTTCTCCCATTTTGGATTGATACCCTTTATGCTATAACAACTATCATGGTTAAAGGGAATTGTTGACTGTGTTTGTGTTTGCATCTTACCACCTCATCATATACCACTGTTGCATTCCACCACATCTCATTTCATATCATTTCACACCCACACACAAATCCTATCATCATCTGTCCAGAACCACAACTTTGAGATCAAGCTGGGTATGATCAACCTTGTGCAGAACAAGATGTTCCATGGATTGCCAAGTGAAGACCCCATTGACCACCTTGATGAGTTTGATGCTTATGTGATTTGACAAAGATCAATGGTGTCTCTGAAGATGCCATCAAGCTGAGACTCTTTCCTATGTCTCTAGCTGACAAAGCTCACCAATGGGAGAAGAGCTTGCCCCATGGCACAATCACCACTTGGGATGAATGCAAGAAGGCCTTTCTTGCTAAGTTTTTCTCCACCGGTCGCACAGCCAAGCTAAGGAGTGAGATATCAGCTTCATCCAGAGGAAACAATGAGACATTGCTGAGGCTTGGGAGAGGTTCAAAGGCTACACAAGTCAGTGCCCACACCATGGATTCAACAATGAATCATTCTCTCTACTCTTTATAGAGGTTGCTTGGCAAGGTATAGGAGAGATGCTGGACACAGCAGCAATGGAACTTCCTCAATCAGGATGTGGATGATGGCTGGCAGCTTGTGGAGAACATTGCAAACTCCAATGGAAGCTATGGAGAAGAGTATGATCGCACCAACCGGAGCTCGACCCACCACTCGATCGAGTCGATGAGAAATTGAGAAAAGATGTTAAAGGTTGAATGAGAAGTTGGATAAGCTGATCTTAGCTCAGTCCACAATGAAGAAAGTCAACTTTGTGTCTGCTGAAGAGATGGAACCAGTCCAAGAAGGGGAGGATACACAATTTGCTGAAGTATGTTACATGAGCAATGGGCAAGGAGGTTACAACAAAGGATACTATAATTACAAGTCCAACCCAGCCATGTCATACCGAAACACTGATGTTGCTAACCCTCAGGACCAGGTCTATCCTCAACAACAAGCAAGCTCGATCGAGTCAAGCTCCACAACATGGGTATGGTCAAAAGAACAACTACCAAGGCCCTCAAGGGACTTTTCCTGGTCAGCAAATGCACATACCACCTGGCTTTCCCCACCAACCACCCCAGCCTGCACCTACACAAGAGAATGAGCTCAAGGCAATGCTGAAACAATTGCTTCAAGGGCAAGCTGATGGTGTAGTGGACACAAGCAAGAAGCTAGCTGAAATCAACTCCAAGATCGAGAATCTCAACACAAGAGTTTACTCTCTGGAGAATCATGCTTCTTCTGTTGCTGCTGCTACAAAGCAAGGACAACTACCTGGTAAAGCTATTCAGAACCCCAAGGAACAGTGCAAGGTCATCTTCACTCAAGAAGGACTTGAAGAAGAGGATCAAGAGAGAGTCATGGAAGAGTTTTGTTTACTGCTGAATGATGACGAGATTGTTGCTGCTGAGGCTCCTGGAGTCCAGATTGATCAACCAGAAGTGCAGCACCTACTGTGGCCATTCACACTTCACCAGTTGAGCTCGCACAACAAGCTCGATCGGCAGCTCGATCGAGTCAACTCTAGCTCGATCGAGTCCGACTTCATGTCCCAAGCCATTTTGCTTGATCCTTACCAACCGGTTGACACTCGTCTCGCCTACTTAGTCAAGGCCACAAGGAAGTGATTCACAAGTTCAGAAGAGATCTCAGTGGGATTGGAATTGAGTTGCCTCTATGGAAAGCATGAGTGAGGCATTTGATCAAATGAATGGTCAAGATGTTATGGCCAACAGTGATAAAGTTTCAGAGTCTGAAGAGTCTACTCATCAAATCAACCTGCTTACTTCACCTACTTTCTTACCAAAGGTGAAGGATCAAGGGAAATTCACTCTCCCTTGCACACTTGGGCATCTTGAGCTTGACAATGCCTTGGTGGATTCTGGAGCAAGCATCAATCTGATCTCTCTCTCAATGGCAGAAAAGCTAGGCATTGCTGGAGCTTGCAGCGCCCTACTACTTCAATCATGTTTGGAGATGCAACTTCTAAGTCTCCTCTTGGTGTGTTCAAGAACTATCACTTGAAAATTGGAGAATGCATCATCCAAACTGATCTCACTGTCATGGAGATGGAAGAAGAGAAGGATCTACCTCTGCTATTGGGAACCCCATTCCTTAGCACAGTTGGCGCTTCAATAGACTTTCACAAGCAAGAAGTGATTCTTCACAAGGTGAATAGTTTGGTGTCATATCGCTTGCAGCCTAGAGGTTCAGACTTTTGTGCCACAATTGAGCAATCCTCTCAGTTCCTAAGACTCTGAAGTTGCTACAAAGGTTGTGAAGGAAAGGTTGACAAAGAACCAAGAGTTGTGAGAGATAAGGTTGAGAAGGACAAAGGAGTTGATAAAGGACCAAGGATTGAGAAGCCACGTCTTGAGAGGGCTAGAGTTGAGAACCACGTTCTGATAGGCCACGAGCTGATAGACTTGTTCAAGCCCTTGTGTGCTTGATGAAGAAAGCCTTCAAGCTTTGTTTGATGAGCCACTAGGAAGGCTCAAAAAGAAGGGGAGGATGCAGCCTCTAAGGCACCTTGTGGGAGAGAGAAAGATCCACCAGCTCAAGCCAAGCCATCTCAGCTCCACCTTGTTCCCCACCAAGTTTGAAAATGGAAGATTGAGTACAAGATAAGGTACAAGGGGAGATCAAGACCATTCTCTAGAGCCAAGGCCTTGGTGACTTCAGAACAGTCCAGGGATCCAACCAAGCTAAAGGAGCTTCTGTCTCAAGTCCTCACTATCACCCTTGATGGTGGGACTAGCTCAACCAATGCCTAAGAGGTAAAGGTCAAGCTATGGGACCTTAAACAAGCTCACTTGGGAGGAAGTCCCATGTTTATCCTTGTACATATTTTTATGCAATTTCTATCTAGTATTTTGTGTCTTAACCTTTCAATAAGTTAAGTTTAGGTGACAAGAAGCCAGCTCGACCGACAGCTCGATCGAGCTAGAAACAAGGGTAACTCGATCGAGTTCCACAACTCGACCAAGGTAATTTTAAATTTGAAATTTCTAACCGTTTCCTTGGTCAAGGGGTGGGTCCCACTTGTAAAATTTGGTCCCCCACTTCTCAAAATTGATCAGAAAAAACTCGAGCTTTTGTCCCCTCTTTAAAACCTCTTTTAATCCTCACCACACATCTCAAACACTCCCTCTGCCCCATAACTCGATCGCACAACCCCTCTTTCTCTCCCACACTCAAAATTTTCTGAAAATCATTCATCTCCCTCATTTCTCTAAGAAAAATCCAAAAATCTCTCATCCTCTCTTGAGTTTTTGCGATTCCTCCTTATTCAGTATCTTGAATTGCTTTAGTTTCTAGCTACTGTTCTAGTTCAATCATCATCCAAGCCCCTAAACCCCCAAAATCCTTAAGTTCGATTTCTCTCTATTGCATGTTTTCTCTTGAATTTTGATTGCTTGTGTCCCTTGTGGGCTTGTTCTTGAGTAATTGGTTTCATATCCATCTCCTGTTTATACAATTTTGTGAACTTGCCTCACCTCACCTCTGTTTTGCCATTAAACTTGTTGCATTTGTGATGTACTTGCATTTTGCATAGTTTTAGTACATCTTTTATGCATCTTTTGCATAGTTTTAGCATCCATTAGCATCATATCTTGTTCCTTTTCTCTTCTTATGCATTCATAGTAGTTTTAGGTTGCATTTGCATACATATGCATGTTTGGTCCTTTGAAATAGGTCTTTTGGAGCATTTGGAGCATATGGGACGTGAGAGGAGCAAGGAAGGACTTGGTGCATGGACGCAGCTCAACTGGATACGCAAAGGAAGAAGGAGGAAGCCATCTTGAAGACCAGCTCGACCACTCCGGTCGAGTTCCTCAACTCGACCGGCCAAGCTTCAACTCGATCGAGCTGAGAAGTCAACAGTCAAACCCGAAAAATGTTGCTTCCCCCTTGACTTTCCTTTGACCCTAAACCTAAATCCTCTTGTATTTAAAGGCTAAAAGCCACGAAAAAACCACCAAGCTTTAGCTTACTTTTTGTTTTAGCTTTCTTTTAATTTATTGTCTTTTACTTTTTGCAACTCTAATCCATCTTTGTGTTCTTGAAGCTCTTGCTTCTTGAATCCTAGATCCTGGATATCTCTTTTGTATTTGCACTTGCTTATTTCAATAAAAGTTGTTTATCTTTATCTCCTCTTTCATTTGATGTCGATTTCATTGCATTTGCTTGTGTTTACATTCATGTGTAGTGAGTAGTTTACCCATTAGGGTCAAAGATGGGCTAGATTAGGGGATCTTTATGCTTAATCCTTCTTGCTTATGTTCTTAATCTAGAAATCTCTCTCTTTTGGACAAACCTTAAGGCTACATGACCACTACCCCTGGCTTGTATGTCCATTAGGCGATTCTCCACATGGAAGTGATGGAAATCGTTGGAAAAGGTCCACTAAGAGCTCCAATAACTCTTGCTCTCGAAATGGAGTTCATAGGGGTTGGATGGATTAGTTTGAGCAATGATCCTATGGCCTCCAAGGCTTGATTCTCACTGGCTAACCCCCTGTTTCTGAGATCAAGTCTTGGTTGATAGCTTTCACCTTGGGAAAGGGTTAGCTAGGCATTGAGAAGCTCAATATCAAGAGATACCTTGATACAAGTTGTTTGAGAGCAAGATTGATTAAGTATAGCTTCCTCTGATTGTAAACCCTGTCTTAGACCCTATTCGCATTAGCTTGTTAAAGTCGCTGCCTTTATCGCTTTTTATCAACTCGACCCTAAACTCGATCGAGCTCGGTTACTCTGTTCCCACTCGACTCGAGTCCTTGGTCGAGCTGCTTGCTTACTGTTTCATTAGGTTGTTAGTGTTATTGAGTGCATTGTTGATTTGACTTTGAAAACTTGTCCATCTTTTGCGATTTCTTGAGTGCCCTGTTTTTAGATTCTTTTGTGCATTAGGGTGAGATTGATTGAGCAGCAAGAACCATGTTTATCTTGATCATATCACTGCATGCACATCTCATTCAACCATTGCTGTGATTTGATGCATTTCCCTATCTATTTGAACCATAACTTGATCTTTAATTACCAATGCTTGCATTTGATTTCAACTCATGGCTACCACATACATATCTGGACATTCTTTACCTATTTTCATATCCCTTTGCTTGTCCAGATAGCTGATCTCTATCTTTGAGACAGTTACCACACCTTAAACCTAAGCCTTTTCATTTCAAACCCCATATTATCTCTTGTGCGAATGTGAGAACCTTTCTTGGCTTTGCTTAGCATAAGGTGTTGTGTTTAAACCGGCAGGGGCAGTAGTTCTAGTTGTCTAGTTCTCTTGGGATTGTTTTCAGGCTAAGTTTGGGGGTGCCAACTCGAGCTCGATCGAGTTGGGTGTAAAAACCAGAAAAGTGGTAAAAGTTGGGAAAAACCCAAAGGAAAAAGAGTTTAGTTAAGTCCAGGGAGTTGGCAGTTTAAAAAGGGTCTAGTAAAGGTTTGGGAAGTTAAAAAAGGAAAGTAAAAAGGGTTCTAAGTAGAATGAAAAGAAGGCAAAGCCTCAAGTGTCAAAAAGGAAAGAAAAGTTCCCTAAGTGTTTAGAAAATCCCAAACCGCTAGATGTTACCTCAAGAAGCCTCTCCCTAGGAAGTTCTTAAAAGAAAAGTGAGCAAAGCTCCTCAGTTTCAAAGGCGAAATGCCAAAAAGGGTAGTTAGGATTTTGTTCTAAAAAGCTCTAAGTGTTGAACTCGATCGAGTTAGGATTAGGGGCTCGAGCTGCTGTTCTTGCATCATCTTTGGTTCTAACACTTAGCCTTCTGCCAAAGCAAAGCCACTTTCTTGAGAGATCCCTGTTACTAAACCACCATACAAAAGAGACCCTCTTTGTCTCTTAACCCATAAACCCTTGAAACCAAATGAGTTGATTGATCTTGCATGTTTTTGGTTCACTGTTTTTGCTTAATGAATGTTAAAGGGATTTGCTGATTTGAATGCATTGTTTGAGTGACTGTGAAGTGGGATTGATGTTGATAAGCATGGTTAAATCTTAATGAATATCTCTCACCTTGTTGCATTCTAGAATCTCTAAGTTGGACATTTAGCAAATCGCTTTTGAGGACATGTTTTTAAGTGTTGAATCAGCTTGTTTTCAAACCTCATCTCTTTCTTGTTCTATTTGTTTGCTTGAGGGCAAGCAAAGTTCAAGTTTGGGGGTGTTGATGTACTTGCATTTTACATAGTTTTAGCACATCTTTTATGCATCTTTTGCATAGTTTTAGCTTCCATTTGCATCATATCTTGTTCCTTTTCTCTTCTTATGCATTCATGTTAGTTTTAGGTTGCATTTGCATACATATGCATGTTTGGTCCTTTGAAATAGGTCTTTTGGAGCTGGAGCATTGGGACGTGAGGAGCATGGAAGGACTTGGGCATGGACGCAGCTCAACTGGATACACAAAGGAAGAAGGAGGAAGTCATCTTGAAGCCAGCTCTGATGGTAATGGTTTTGCGTGTGCGATATGTGAAATGATATGAAATGAGATGGAATGCAATCAGTGGTAATGATGGTGGTAAGATGCAAACACAAACACAGTCAACAATTCCTCTTAACCATCATAGTCATTGAAGTATAAGAGGTTATCAATCCAAAATGGGAAACTTGTCACTCTATGAGAATATGAAACAACCAGAAAGTCAAGCAAGCAGTTATAGATTTGAAGTAACACTAACAACCTAAAAATGAAATGCAGTGCAATAAAAGTAAACAAAGCAGTGAAGTAGCTCGACCAAGACTCGAGTCGAGTGGACAGAGTACCAGCTCGATCGAGTTTAGGGACGAGTTGAGACAAAAAAGCTAAAGGTGACGACTTTAACAAGATAAGAGAGAATTAGGGTTCAAGACAGGGTTTTGCAATCAAAGGAATCTACACTTAATCAATCTAGCTCTTAAAACTCCTTGTATCAAGGCTTCTCTTGATATTGGGCTTCTCAATGCCTAGCCAACCCTTTCCCAAGGTGGAGGCTATCAACCAAGGAATGATCTCAGAAACAGGGGGTTAGCCAGTGAGAATCAAACCTTGGAGGCTATAGGATCATTGCCCAAACTAATCCATCCAACCCCTTAGACCTCTATTGTCTAGAGCAAGAGATATTGGAGCTCTTAGTGGATCTTTTCCAGCGAATGCCATCACTTCGTGTGGGGAGTCGCCTAAGGACTTACAAGCCAGGGGTAGTGGTCATGTAGCCTTAAGATCTATCCAAAAGAGAGAGAATCTAGATTAAGACCATAAGCTAGAAGGATTAAGCATATGAAACCTCTAATCTATCCCATCTCAAACCCTAATGGGTAACTACTCACTACACATGAATGTAAACACAAGCAAATGCAATAAAAGAGACATCATAAGAAAGAGGAGATGAAATTAAACAACTTTTATTGAAATAAGCAAGTGCAAATACAAAGAGATTATCCAGGATCTAAGATTCAAGAAGCAAGAGCTTCAAGAACACAAAGATGGGATTAGATTCTAAAAAGTAAAGACAATAAATTAAAGAAAGCTAAAACAAAGATAATCTAAAGCTTGGTGGTTTTTTCGTGGCTTAGAGCCTTTAAATACAAGAGGATTAGGTTTAGGGTCAAAGGGAAGTCAAGGGGGAAGCAACATTTTTCGGGTTTGACTTTGACTCCCCAGCTCGATCGAGTTGAAGCTTGGCCGGTCGAGTTGAGGAACTCGACCGGTTGGTCGGTCGAGCTGGTCTTCAAGATGGCTTCTCCCTTCTTCCTTTGCGTATCCAGTTGAGCTGCTTCCATGTGCCAAGTCCCTCCATGCTCCTCATGTCCCATATGCTCCAGAATGCTCCAAAAGACCTATTTCAAAGGACCAAACATGCATATGTATGCAAATGCAACCTAAAACTAACATGAATGCATAAGAAGAGAAAAGGAACAAGATATGATGCAAATGGAAGCTAAAACTATGCAAAAGATGCATAAAAGATGTGCTAAAACTATGTAAAATGCAAGTACATCAAGCTCGACCACCTACTCGACCATCCCGGACAAGCTTCAACTCGATCGAGCTGAGAAGTCAACAGTCAAACCCGAAAAATGTTGCTTCCCCCTTGACTTCCCTTTGACCCTAAACCTAATCCTTTGTATTTAAAGGCTCTAAGCCACGAAAAAGACAACAATCTTTGGCGTACTTTTAGTTTTATCTTTTCTTTAATTTTGTATCTTTACTTTTTAGCAACCCTAAACCTCTCTTTGTGTTCTTGAGCTTCATGTTCTTTGAACCTTGGATCTAGGTTTATTTACTTTGTACAGTATTTGCACTTGCTTATTTCAATAAAAGTTCTTTAGTTTCTTTCCCTCTTTCGTTTAATGTATATTTCATTGCATTTGATTGTGTTTTCATTCATGTTTAGTGAGTAGTTACCTTTAGGGTCCAAGATGGGCTAGATTAGGGGAGTCTTATGCTTAATCTCTTTTGCTTATGATCTTAATCTAGAAATCTCTCTCTTTTGGACAAACCTTAAGGCTACATGACCATTATCTCTAGCTTGTATGTTCATAGGCGATTTTCCACATGGAAGTGTTGGGAAATCGCTTGAAAAGGTCCACTAAGAGAGAAATGGAGTTCATAGGTGTTGGATGGATTAGTTTGAGCAATGATCCTACTGCCTCCAAGGCTTGACTCTCACTGGCTAACCCCCTGTTTCTGAGATCATGTCTTGGATGATAGCTTTCACCTTGGGAAAGGGCTAGCTAGGCATTGAGAAGCTCAATATCAAGAGATACCTTGATACAAGTTGTTTGAGAGCAAGATTGATTAAGTATAGTCTTCGCATTAGCTTGAGACCCTGTCTTAGACCCTAATATTCGCATTAGCTTGTTAAAGTTCCTGCCTTTATCGCTTTTTACTCGCTAACTCGACCGAGTTGTTACTCTGTTCCCACTTGCCTCGAGTCCTTGGTCGAGCTGTTGCTTTACTGCTTTCTTTCATTTATTGCACTGCATTTCATTTCCTTAGGTTGTTTAGTTGTTACATTCCCCCTCTTTAATCATTTGGCTTGACTTTCTTGTGTTTGCATAGTTCATAGAGTAACAATTTCACCCTTATGGATTGATACCCCTTATACTTCAATGACTACAATGGTTAAGGGGAATTGATTGATTGTGATTGTGTTTGCACCATACCATTCCATCTTCATTTACCACTGTTGCATTCCACCTCATTTACATTTCATATCTTATCATCACATCACACACGCAAAATCCTATCATCAGGAAGCCAGAAAAAAAGCAAAGAGCGGACATAAGGATGTTAATGGAGATGCCAACAGTCGATCAAATGATGAAGGTGTTGGCGCAGAGAAGAATGCTTCCAATGAAAATAGGAATGAGATTAAGGACTACTTTGATTGCCGGTATGCTTTATTATTTATTTTTAGGCTCCATTTGTAAATATTACTGTGTTCTTAGCTGTGGTCATATCATTATCATTTATTTCAGGTACATTTCACCCTCTGAAGCTGTTTGGAGAACATTCAAATACCCGATACACCATAGATCTGTATCAGTGGAGAAATTAACATTCCACCTCGAAGGGAAACAATTGGTTATTTTCAAAGGCAGAGACAAAATGGAGAGGGTCGTAACACGTAAACTGATTGAGAAGACAATGATGCTGGCATGGTTTGAACTGAACAAGGAGTGTGCATTTGCTAGAACGCTTACCTATGTTCAGATTCCAAATTATTTTACCTACGTAAAAAGTGAAAACGCTGGAAACCAAGAAAGAGAGGATTCAGCATTGGAAGAATAAATTACGCACCAAGGAAGATTGAAGATGCTTATTATCTGAGAATGCTGTTAAACGTCGTGAGAGGTCCAAGATCGTTTGAAGAGATAAAGACCTACAATGGCGTGTTGTACCCTGAATTTAAAGATGCTTGTTACGCTAGGGGCCTGCTAGAGGATGACCAAGAGTATATCGATGATATTTGCAGAAGAAGCTTCACATGTCCTCCATCACAACTTTGCCAGTTGTTTGTCATCATGCTTACTTCAGATAGTCTGATTTCGCCAGAGGTAGTTTGGTATGCATGTTGGGAGTTTCTCTCCGACGACATCGAGATGCTTAGAAGACGGGATCTTAATAGACCAGGTACAATATCTTCACTCTTCTTCTCCTTAATTTAAGAAAAATAAAAATAGGAATCTATTTACTAAATAGTATTGTCATCTGTCAAAGGACTTACGCTAAGTGACGAAGACAAAAGGGTATATGCTCTCCATAGTAAAAAGGAATGGCGGTGACTGGACGAAGTTTAAAAGTATGCCCCAACCACGGGGAGTTAATTATTCAGCTACCAAAAAATGTTCTAATTGTGGATGAAAAGAGTTATGACAAAGAGGAGCAGAAAACAAACCACGACAGAGACTTTGCTAAGCTTACTCCCGAACAGAAGAAAGTGTATGAGGAAATAATTGGTTTTGTTTTGGCGAGAAAAGGAGGAGTGTTCTTTGTATATGGCTTTGGTGGAACTGGAAAGACATTTTTTATGGAGGATTTTAACTTCTGCAATTAGATACAGGGAAGAGATCGTTCTAAATGTAGCTTCAAGAGGTATAGCATCACTACTGTTACAAGGAGGCCGCACGGCTCATTCCAGGTTTGGGATACCTCTGAATCCAGATGAGTTTACTACATGTGTTATGAGCAAAGGTTCTGATCTAGCCAATTTTGTCAGAGTCGTCTCTTATTATTTGGGACGAGGCTCCTATGATGAGTAGCCATTGTTTCGAGTCTTTCAGACATTATAGGTAATAAAGATGGAAAGCCTTTCGGAGGTAAAGTAATTGTGTTTGGAGGTGATTTCAAACAAGTTCTTCCAGTAATACCCGGTGCTGGTAGGGCACAAATTGTAGGAGCCTCGCTTAACTTATCTTATTTTTGGAAGCACTCCAAGTTTTAGAACTGACAAAGAACATTAGGCTCTTATCTGGTAATCTGAGTGAAGAAGAAGCAAAAGCCCTAAAGGAATTTTCAGAGTGGATACTCGATGTTGGTAATGGAAGAATAGTGGAACCTAATGATGGTGAAGATGAGACCGAAATTCCTGAGGAATTCCTTATAATGGATGAAGAGGAGCCTATTGAATCTATAAGCAGGAAGATTTATGGAAATTCTGAGGCTCTGCAGGACAACACGGATCCAAACTTTTTCCAAGGAAGAGCAATTCTTTGTCCTACGAACGAAGAATTCGACAAGATTAACCAGCACATGCTAAACAACTTGAATGGTTAGTCAGTTTCCTCAGTTCCTACTATTTCACGAGATTTAACTATCTAAAATTTCTCCTTGACTGAATAATATAAACTGATATCTATCAGGAGAGGAACGAATTTATCTCAGCTATGGAATAAATTGAGACTGAGGGTACCTTGGATCCTTCAGACACTTCTGCTATGAATGACGAGGCTCTCAGCACGGAATTCTTAAACAGCATCAGAGTTGCTGGCTTACCTAACCACAATTTGAGACTGAGGGTTGGGTGTCTGGTCATGTTGCTAAGGAATATTGATCCAATAGGAGGTTTAATGAATGGAACAAGGCTGCAAATTACTCAACTAGCTAACTTTATGGTAGAAGCTAAGGTTATTACCAGAGACAAGATTGGAGAAGTTATCATTCCTAGACTTACCATTACACCATCAGATGCGAGGCTTCCATTCATAATGAGAAGAAGATACTTGCCAAGACCCGTTTTCTCTCACGGACAACTCTATGTTGCTATCTCCAGGGCTACGTCGAAAAAAGGATTGAAGATCTTGATCGTGGATAACTGATATACCTCTAATTTTACACTTTTTATACTGTTTTAGTATTGTTTTCTAATGGTTTTTGGCAGGTTTTCTATCTAAAAAGGTAGTTTTACTGTGTTTATAGTGTCTAGAGTCTAAACAGGTGAAATGATGCATTTTGGAGCAAAACCATAGGATTTGCACTTCAAGCCGCTCCATGCACAAGCACCAACTTTAAGAGGGCCCAGAAAAAGATCTACTCAATGGATTTCATCAAGACCAGTTCCCTGCGTGCTCTGATTGAGTTAACTTTCCAACGCAACTGGAATGGCCTCATTTGGATGAGTAGAAAGGAGTTACAACCAAAAGAGTGAAGACTGTCCAGACGGCTCTATCGAGAATCAGCGCCCAACCGCGCAGACCGGCTGGCCGAGAAACGTTGTTTCACGCTCGGCCAAATCACATCCGTCCGTCTGAAGTCTCGGCCAAAGTTCAAGATCGTCGGCCGATACGCATCACGACCCGGGAAACATGTCCCGCGGTCGGCCACGCACACCGCTCACGCCATGCCGCGCACGACCATGCCGCGCGAGCCGGGAAAAAGCCTCGCGGCCGCGCAACCTGTCTCGCGTACCACGGCCGATGCATCCGTCCGAGCCGGGAAACTACGTCCCGCGTCCGGCCGAAATCATCGGCCAATCTTCACCGTCCGACCATAGCGGCCGACCACGAACCGTCCGGCCCGACCGTTCCGATCGTACTGCGGCCACGACCCGATCGTCCGGCCGATCGTCCCGACCGACCGTCCAACGCCGCGGTCGACCCGAAGCCCGTTTTGAAGCCCGTTTCACATATTTTCAAGCCCGGCTTAACCCTAAGCCGCCTCAAAAGACCTAGCACTATATATATAGCTTTTTAGCCTCTGTGAAAAGAGAGCCGCCTTGTATCACAATTTCATACTTGAGTTTTATTGCAATCATGTTTTCTTCATCTCTTTGTGTTGTTGCTTTGATTATGTCTGAGTAATTCACTAGTTAGGTTGTGAGATCTATCAAAGAGTTCATGGTTTGATAGGTTGTTAGAAGCCTAGGGTTTATATATCGCATCTTCGCCTCTGCTTGAATTCATTGCTGCTTGCTTTTCTGATCAACTAGCATCAGATCTTAGGTTTCATATACTCTCCAAAAGCTTGCTATATAACCTGAACTAAGTATTTGGTGAGCAAAACTTCATAGACTGCGAAAGTTGATCTATGCGGGGTTGTGAACAATTGGGTCTTGAACGAACTATTGCTTGATTTAATCACCTAGGGACATACCAAAAGTTTAGCGACTAGGTAGATTAACAAAGGGGTCGGAGCCTCGACAGTGGAAAGATCATACAATCGTGACCTGAGTTCTAGATAGCGCAAACCCTAGCGAACCTTCTAATATCTTGTTAACCTTGAATCTCTGCGAGTTTCTCATTGCCTAGCGTTTCCCTTTATTAAACCGTTTAATCTGCTGTTTGATTTCCTTTGTTACACAATCAAAACCCTAAATCATACTTGTTTTCTAGCTATATTAGACTTGCAATACTCGAAGTGTACTTATCTGCTCCTTGTGTTCGATACCCGTTTACTACTTCTGACCTGTGCACTTGCAGAATCAGGGATAGGAAAAGGGAAAACCTGATCCCGCGATCAAGTTTTTGGCGCCGTTGCCGGGGAGCAATACAGCTACCTTCGAGTTCCCAACTATAGTCTAGTCTAGAATTTCGTTTTTCCTTTTTGTTTTTGCAAATTTTCAACTTTTGTTTTTCCTTTTTACTGTTTTCTATTTAAAGAATCTTGCCTCTATCCCTTTCAGGTACTAAGCTTGAAAGAAGGACTCTAACATGAGTGATTCAGACGATCAAGAGGAGAGAGATAACTTGGCCGCGAGAGAGATCGCGCTGGCCGAGCAACACGAAGACCCTCCGGATCCGAATGCCGCGCACGATCGCGCCAATGATGAGATGCCGAGAGATGGAGCGCGACACAATGAAGAAGTCATGGGAGACTTCGATTCAAATCCAACACTACTAATCAATCGAAATCCCATCCACCGCCACTTCCTGAAGGAAGAAGCTATGAGATTTCGCCGGAGATCATTGGCTTTGGTGAAACAAAACCAGTTCCAAGGAAAACCCCAGGAGAATCCTTTGGAACATATTGATGCCTTTGAAGAAATCTGTGGACCATCAGTGCAGGAGGTGCGCCCAAGGAGTACTTAAAGTGCAAACTATTCTCTTTCACTTTGACAGGGAAGGCTTTGCGCTGGGTGAAGTCTCTTCCAGCTCAATCCATAACCACATGGAAAGAGTACAAGGTGGCATTCCTAGGTCACTTTTTCACAAAGCAAAGAGCAAACTTGTTGAGAGAAAAGATCTCTAGTTTCCAACAAGGGCCGGTGGAGCCTTTTCATGAAGCATTGGAGCGCTTCAAGACTATACAAGAGAGTGTCCTAATCATGGACTATCTGATGGCAGTCTATGGAACATTTTCTACAGAGGAATAAGTGGGAAGTGTCGATTTTCTCTTGATACAGCCAGCAATGGAAATTTCATGACCAAGACAGTTACTGAAGCAAAGATTTTGATTGAAAATCTAGCCTCAAGCGACAGTGACAACTTCATTGGGCATGAGAGAGCAGTGAAGGCCATAAATTCTGATCCATACAGAGATGGATACAGTGAGATCAAAGCCATGATGGCTGAGATACTGAGAAACCAAGGAAGAGAAGTGGAGAGACAAAGAGAAGCTTATAGAGTTGAGTCCACAATAATTCAAGACTACTTTGGAGATTTGATTCCAAGCTTTCAAGAAGAAGTAAACTTTGTTGGAATAGATGGATTGGCACGTGGAGAAGAAGCTTGGAAAGGAGAGCATGATGTTTTTACAACCAAGAATCACCCAATGAAAGAGGGATGTTCATGGAGGAAGAAATTATCAGCAACACCTCACAAGAGAAGAATGGAGCCAAGGAGCAACTTTGAAGATTTGATAACTTTTATCAAGAGTTCTCATAAGGAGCATACAGCCTTGATTGATGAGAGATTGGAGTCAGCTTTCACGAGATTGAATGAGAAGTTGGATTCAATTTCTTCTTTCACAAGAGACTTGGATCTTAGAGTTGCCAACATAGCCAGCTCTATTAAGAGAGAAGAAGGGATGCTACCAGGAAAAGTGGAAATCAATCCAAGGAGAGCAGCTGTAGCAGCTATCACTCTTAGGAATGGAAAAGGGTATGAGCCGCCAGCATACCCAGATCAAGAGGAAGCAAGCCGCCAATCAAGAAGAAACCAATGGAGTATGTCATTATTGGAGATGGTACTGAACCACCTAAGGAAGTCCATGTCAGAATAGAAGCCAGGAACTCAGGAGGAAGTGGAGAAGCCACCTGAAGAACCAAGAGTGTATGAGCCAAAGATCCCATACAGAAATGTTCTTTCTCAACCCAAGAAGGAGAAGGAGCAAGCAAAGCTCAAGGATCTTGTTAGCCAACTTTCAGTAAGGTTACCTTTCATTGATGCCTGCCAGATAATTCCATCTCTCAGGAAGTATATGAAGGCCATACTCACAAGCAATGTGAGTCTTGAAGAAGGAGCAATGATGATTACAAAGGAGTGTAGTGCCATACTTCAGAATCGCATGCCAGAGAAGCTGAACGACCCAGGAAGTTTTGTTTTGTCTTGCAAGATCGGTTCTACACACTTCCATAGAGCACTTTGTGATTTGGGTTCTAGTGTGAACTTAATGCCTTACTCAGTGGCCAAGCTATTGGGCATCACTGACTTCAAACCTACAAAGATATCTCTAGTCTTTGCAGACAGATCTGTTCGCCGCCCTGTTGGTGTTATATGGATGTTCCAATCATGGTTGGAGATTGCTACATCCCTGCTGATTTTGTAGTTCTTGAGCTGGAACATGATGATAGGATTTTTTGCGGATGTGATATGAAATGAGGTGGAATGCAAACAGGGGTGAATAAAGATGATATTGTATGGTGCAATCACAATCAATCAATTCCTCTTAACCATCATAGTCATTGAAGCATAAGAGGTTATCAATCCAAAATGGGAAACTTGTTACTCTTTGAGAGTATGAAACAACCTGAAAGTCAAGCAAGCAGTTATAGATTTGAAGTAACACTAACAACCTAAAAATAATGAAAAGCAGTGTAATAAAAGTAAACTAAGCAGTGAAGTGTCAGCTCGACCAAGAGCTCGAGTCGAGCTAGAGCAACGTACCAGCTCGATCGAGTTTAGGGACGAGTTGAGACAAACAAAGCTAAAGGTGACGACTTTAACAAGGTAAAGAGAGAATTAGGGTTCAAGACAGGGTTTTGCAATCAAAGGAATCTACACTTAATCAATCTAGCTCTTAAAACTCCTTGTATCAAGGCTTCTCTTAT